TTATTTCACCTTTATTTATTCGTATTATAAATTAAATTGATAACATACAGACGTATGACAATCAACTGCTGGATGAAGGGCTCTCTATGCTTTGTTGGTTATGGGCGTTGTTTGTCATGGAGTTTACATTTAACTCACTCAGAATCAAACTCGGGTTTCAAAGTTTGTAGCACACTGCACCGCCGTTCCATGCCTTTATTTGTATATTATTGGGTACTAAAATTCGATACATAAACGAGTGTGTGGACGTGAGCAGTCGCTACATATCTCTAGACTAACTTGAGTCACTCCAACCAAATTCATCTACAGTTAGTACCGTAGAGTGGTTGGCATGGACCCGAGTGTAAGGAATGAAATGGGGCCCTCCTCATTGATGGGCTTCTTTGGCCCACAAGCCTCAGTACAGTTATACTGCCCGTACACTCAATACTTACTCCGCTGACTGCGGTAACACGACCGCGATGCTACACGTTTTCCCCAGTCGTGTCGTGTTTAACTTAGCCACTTTGCATGACATCTCTACAAGGCTTGGACCTTTAAATAACATGGATCAATTTGTAGGTCTCACATCTTTAAGGAACGGATTGCTTCCCTCAGGTGGAGCATGATTATAAAGATAACTAGTGGGAAATCTTGAGGCCTGACGGCAATAAATAAGATAATTGTTTTTTTTACCCTTTTATCTGGCAACAAAACAGACACCTTTTTTTACAAAGAGTCATGTTTTTTGTTTGCATTATGACTGCAGGTATTGTGGTCTATGCAAACATGACTCCTTGTAAAAAAGTTGTCAGTTTTGTTGCCAGATAAAAGGGTAAAAACACAATTATCATATTTTTTACTGGCAAATGAGGTTCCAATGGGGCAATAAATAACTGAGGAATCCAACAATATATTTTATTGGGTTAGATCGAGTCGGTCACAGTCCCTATGACCACTGTTTCATTGCTTTTATGGCTTTATTTTGGTGATTTTCGATAAGTCTTTTGGTTTGGCCATGTTTGTGTTGTTGTAGTACAGAGTTAGACTGATAGCCTTAATCTAAGTTGTCTTGTGGTTGTTGTTGTTTGATTTGCATCCCACTGGGATTTTTGCACATTTTTGTGTACGGTGCTTTTTCTGCAATATTTTACTGTATTTTCTTGGATTTTCTGTTTGCACTCAGTCACATATTCACTTTAAGATGTTTTTTGTTCATGTTTTAGTTTTTTGTTTGTTGCGGTTGCACCCGATTCAAGAGCCGAATAGCTCACAGGGCTATACCTAATAAATGAACTTGAACTAACTCACGTCTCACCTCAAATCTCGCCTCAAATATTTGAAAGGGCGCCCCCTAGTGGCAAAGTCGTCCACGTGGGCACAAACGTGACTCGGCATGTGGCCTGCAACCAGACGTTAGTCTGGTCGGTAGGGGGGCGGTCTTGCTATTTGTACTCTCATGCCAATTCAATAATTTCAGAGTAATTTTCCAAACTTTGCAAATTTGTACCACACAACGACCTACTCGTTTCGAATGACGTCAAAAGGATGTTGAACGTCCACCGACCGTGACACAGACGGTGTGTACTTAATGGTTACTAAACCCGCAGGAATAACCAGGGCAGCCGTCAAGGCTTGAACCAATAACCTCTGCAACGAGTGGCGACCACGCCACCGCTGAGACCGTGTTGCCACCCCAGTTGTAAAATGTACAAATAGGGACCCACGTCAAATGCTGGACTATTGCAAATGATAGAGCGGATATGCAGCAGCAGCAGGCCTGGTAAACTGAATCAGCCGAATTACTTTGTCGAAGGTAAAAATGACGAAAATATCGTTACCTTTCAAACGAGACCTCATTCATTTAAATTGGTGGAGCCGTGAAGGAGGACTTCTCCGAATAAACATATCCACCAATCAAGATAATTATTCACTTCGTCTTATGGCTGACACTGTTGGAGAGTAACAACTATTATTTTACAGCGAGGTGGTTGAGCTTGATCAATGCGTCAGGAGTAGCCGAGTTCATCGCTGCGATGCCTCCTTCATCTTAATTTAGGACTTTCGTGACTGCAGGAATTATTCTTTGGTTCTTTCGGTTAAGTCACGTCTAAAGATAAAATAATAAATTAAATAATAGCATATTACGACGTTTCGATTGCAACACAAGCAATCATCATCAGGCAAAAAAGAAATAGCAACACAAATCTAACTAGAAAACTATAGACAGACATACAAGCAGACAGACATCACAAGGACACACAGAGAGAGAACACATATCGGCACAAAGAGAGAGGTCGTTTCTGTGACGGGGCCTTAAATATAGAGAGGGGAGCGGGGGCGGAGAGAGGGAGGGGACAGAGAAAAAATTAACATATCAATGAGTGGACGACAACGTGATGCTGCAAGTGAAGTACCCTTGAAGACGCTTGGACACCGTTGTAAGGCACACGTATTTATTTATACAATAGTCGTACAACACTAGAGGGGTGTATCGGCCCCCTCACCCGGATAGTTGGTAATCTCCTATTAGCTACCCCTGACCTATCCTTCGTCCTCCACTAACGAGGAGGCTATCTGGCCCGACACTGGTCAGTCGGGCTACGGTACCCGGAGTCCCAGAGTACTAACTCTGGTTCACGGGACCACGCCACTGGCTCGGTCCTGCGCTGCCCTGATAAGGGCGGCGTCCCAGGGGAGTCCAGGGCCTATCTGGTCGATCTTCCGTCTTCCCCTATTTACTCTAAGACTGAACCCCGAGCTCTCTGGCTCATCCCTTTTTATACCCCCCCAGAGGATCACAACCCCCCCTCACGCCGCCCGGTGCGGACGTCGTTGCGGGCACCACCCCGTGTACTGACGGAGCCCCCGCCCACTGTGTTTGTTATCCGTTAGATCCTATGCATACAGCCCTACACAAACAGCCCCTCTGTAACAGCCCTACATCACCCCCCCCTGTACAGCTCGCAGCCGTCCCGGCTGCAACAACTTCAATAAAGGTTTATTAACCCCTTGACCTCCGCGTGTGCCTCAAAAACAATTTTAACCATAACGTGAAGGGAACAACAACAAAAACCAACAAACCCCGAAGGGAAAACAACCCGACGCACCCCCCCTGAATAAATACGAATTCCGTAAGAGCGACGTATATACAATTTTAGCAGGGAACCCCTAGCACACACGCAACACAACACAACACAATGTAGCAGGAGCATCCCACCGACGCAGCACCCCACTTCTGACACCAGATGAAGTACCCTTGAAGACGCTTGGACACCGTTGTAAGGCACACGTATTTATTTATACAATAGTCGTACAACACTAGAGGGGTGTATCGGCCCCCTCACCCGGATAGTTGGTAATCTCCTATTAGCTACCCCTGACCTATCCTTCGTCCTCCACTAACGAGGAGGCTATCTGGCCCGACACTGGTCAGTCGGGCTACGGTACCCGGAGTCCCAGAGTACTAACTCTGGTTCATGGGACCACGCCACTGGCTCGGTCCTGCGCTGCCCTGATAAGGGCGGCGTCCCAGGGGAGTCCAGGGCCTATCTGGTCGATCTTCCGTCTTCCCCTATTTACTCTAAGACTGAACCCCGAGCTCTCTGGCTCATCCCTTTTTATACCCCCCCAGAGGATCACAACCCCCCCTCACGCCGCCCGGTGCGGACGTCGTTGCGGGCACCACCCCGTGTACTGACGGAGCCCCCGCCCACTGTGTTTGTTATCCGTTAGATCCTATGCATACAGCCCTACACAAACAGCCCCTCTGTAACAGCCCTACACAAGTAAGATGACGACGCGGCACGGCACACAAGCTTGAAAATCAGGAGAAAGACACACTAAAATTAAATAACCTAGTAAAATATCGAAATGTAATGTAATGCAACACAGAGAGTCCTTCATATTTGTAAATTGGGCATTTTTGCGTCGTGACATGTTTCCTGGTCTGTTCTGGATGACCGCATAATGGATGGATCTCATTAATACCGTTTGGAAAACACCAGCAGCATTTGTTTATCAAGTCTGACTGCTGATGATACCAAAACGGTCTTAACCAAACCAACGTTTTATTGTTCACCACAAACGCTGCTGTATAAGATTGTCTGGAAAGCCTACAGGGTCATAGACTAAAACCATTCTATGTGGTCACCAGAGATCTCGATATTTATTTGAGTATTTTGATATACTGTATTGACTAGGTACCATGCGGTTGCTTGTATCTGCCAAATCATCGGCTTGGTCAACTGCTATTTGCTAAAGTTTGGACAAACTGGTGACCTCAACAATGTGGACCCTGAGGACTATAATTAAAAGATGCTGCTTAATGAATTAGAGACATACGCACAGCGTGTATGCAAACACCACAATGAGTGAAAAACAGCATTGCATGTAGAGATGTTACACTCAAACTATATTGGTTGATGGTGAGGTTAGTTCCTGTCGTGTTAAAATTAGCTTTATCCTAAAAATACTCGCTTCCATCTGGCAACTGCACTATGTCCTGCAGCGAGATCTCCGATGGGCACAGGATTCAGTTGCTTTGTCAGGTTTGATTTTATTTCTTGAAATCGTCAATGTGTTGAAAATTCAGTACGAAGCAAATGTTACAGCTTTAGACCACAAAAAAGACAAGTTTAGAATGAGTCACCCTTGCTCATTCCCTAGCAACAGCTGTGTAATTTACGATTGTATTAGATTATGACATGATTTGCAATGTATGTATGTATGTTGAACGTCTTTCGTACCGTACGTAGCCAACCGTGCTAATATCTGTAATTAAAGATTATTTTAGCGTTCCTGCTTAACCGGACCTTTGAAATGAGATACGCATTTAATTTCGCCACATATTAGATAGATCCTGGTGTGTTTTAACGGTGCTAACAAACCAGCCTCATCATTCACCAACTGGTGCTGCTCGTGCATCGATTGGCCTCACAATGTTGTCACATGCGAGTTCTACATTTTATGCATGTTACAGTTGCTCAGTGCACTTGGCTATCATACGCGATATACCACCAATGTGTTGCAATGAAGTGACATTGTTCCACGTACGTAACTGTATTTATCATACGGCTCCAGCAACACGAGTTTGTAATCGTCCGACTCTTGCACAAATGGCAGTGTACAAGCCAGGCCACAAAAACAAGATATGAACATTAAAGGTTTCGTAAGAATTAATCTCTCATTTTCCACGGAACACGTCATACTTTTCTTTCGCGTGTGTGCATTTACCTAGCTACGTGTGTATTTTAGACGTTTCGCCAAAGCGCAAATGGGGGGCGGGGCAGCTGCGGTGCTGATTATAAATATAAATTGTTGGTGAAATGCAACACACTTGATGTTCAAAACAGCAGCAGTGAAACTCCGTCTATGGCAAATGTGGCAATGGAGGTGACGGGGTCACACGCTCACTAAAAAAAACACCCCACGCAGGGTCGCGCGCTCCCTATTCTCAACTTGTCGTCTCTCGTCGCCACCGCGGCTCGCTTCTTAAGAGCCTAACGAAGAGAGGGGAACTGTTTACAAGTCGGAGCCGAGGCATCTTAGGCATGAAGAAGGTTTGCCGTCTGCTGGGCTGGCTGGCGTGGAGTTTCGCCCCACTCGTCCTCATCGCGGATGGACATGCCATGAGGAAACGCTCGGCAGAGATTCCCCGGGGGACCACCGAAGACCTGAAGAAGATTTTCGTTGGCAGATGCTACGATTACATTCGTGTTATTAATCCTGCCCTACGGTGAGTTCATTTCGATATATCCTCTATAGAGCCGTGCTGCCGAAGACGGAAGCTGATTTAATTGTATCTGAAATGCCATATTTCACTTTATGGGTTCTCATTAATAAGATGCTAAAACCTGATCAGAGTGACAAGAGCGTACGAAACTGGAATAGATGATGGCCAAGACCCATGTATGCCTTGTTAACTTTGACATGTATGAGTGTGACATCGTCTATTCACAATGGCAAAAGCATGTAGGTGATACTAGAATGGATGACACGGCTAACTGCATGCCTTATACATTTGAAGTCTGTGTGAAACGCAATGCATTTTTTATGATTTCAACTGAGAATTGTGCGACGCAAAGAATCGGCCAATCCTGTGAAACGTTCCTGAAAAAACGCAAACATTTATGGTAATTGTGAAGAGCATTGTCAGCCTCTTGAAGTCCTAAAAATGTATGCCACTTTTTATGGATCAGATTTGTCTCAATTGATGTTATGATAAGAAAAAAATCAGGGCCATTACTTATTTTAAATAATAATCCAATTGCACTGTACGCTTATAGCATTTCAATGTTATCCTGGCTTATCGACGTTTGGCTTCACTCTTATAGATTAATTGGTACCTTCAACATTAAATTTCAACATTTAATATCGTCACAGTTAAACCGTAAATAAGTAATTATTTGAATGTGGCATTCGGCACCAAAGTGTTGGGGGCATACTCTTTGGTTCTTTCGGTAAAGTCACGTAGGTGAAAATAAAAATAAAAAATAACTAAATTAAATCACAACGTTTCGGAGGCAACACAAGCTTCCGTCATCAGGTGGGACAACCACAACAAAAAAAACAGAATTACTGTTGGGGGCAGTAATTATTATTGAAGGCCAAGAGCAAGGTGTCTCCAAGCCCATGTGAGTATTGGGTCGGTGTCCATCCCCATTGGCTGCCGTGAACCTACCGTGTACATTTCAAAATGAAAACAAATGACAATGACTCATGTGGCTACGCTATGGGATCATTGATAACGTGACACAATTCGCAAGTTTCTTGCCCACTGTGTCCATTCTTGTCCACCTGGCAGCATACATTGGAACGCCACGGTCGATCGGCCGGTCACCCACTTGTGGTGGGATGAATTGTGGGTACACCCACATCTTTCAAGACGTCATCTAGCCAGCATGCAAGTGCAGGCCAAATTCCGTCCAGAGGGGCTCCCCAGAGCTTTCTCTCGTGGAGGCCCTTTCACCGGCAGGGGCATTGGCGAGACGCTGCAGGGCTTTCTTTATCTTTTCCGTCATTGGTGGTGAAGTAACTTTTTTCCTCCCAGGGACAAGAACTGTGAGCAGATGTGGGAAGCATTCTACAATGGATTCGTCGGCAAACAGCCATGCGAGGTCACCATGGACAGCTACAACCAGTTTGTTGCGCTGGCAAGCCATCCTTTGCCAAAAGACAAGGTTATTGATCTCTAATATCATTTACTATGCGTTTGTTGTGTTCAGCATGAATGTTACATAGGATATTTTTATATCATATAACACGTATGTGTATTCATATCTTTCCATGCACAACATGTATCTGCTATTGATATTAACCCTTGCAAGATGTTTTTTTTTTACGGTGAATATGTTCATGTCAGTACTGTGAGAGACGAGCTAAACCAATCCAAAGTGAAGAAAGTGTCCTCGGCGTCACAGCAGGTGACCAACAACGGCTGTGACTGAGGTGTATATGCAGAAGATTGATACATTGATTACCTTATTACACATGTGCATTGGAATTGGGCAACGTGCAGTGTAGAGCATCCTTCAGTGTAAACTTTCTAGTATTGTATGGAATCCTTGTGGAAACGGTCTGTACTATAACGCCGCGTGTTTTCATAACGCGAATTGGATACAACGCGAAGACTGTATGAGGGAACACGTTTTTGTAACGCGGATGCGAATTGGATATAATGCAATTGAGTGAACAGAACGACGTCGCATAAATAGGAATTAGCGGTTGTACGGTTGCCTCGGCTTAGCATCACGCAAGGCGGGATGCTGCTGGATGCTTCTAGATGCTACCCACACGTCTCAGTCTTTGTTCAGATGGAATGCTCTTACCAATAATCCTAATCAATAGGATTCTATTCAACACAAAAAGCAACATTTTATTATTTAGAAAGATTATATGAATTTTTTATGGGTCTGGCACGCAGGCTCAATAGTTTGGGAATCTTGATTAGAAGCTTTCGTGACTACAGGAATCCAAACTCTTTGGTTCTTTCGTTAAAGTCACGTAGGTATAAAAAAAAAATCACGACGTTTCGGGTGCAACACAAGCGTCCGTCGTCAGGTGGGAAAGCATGGTCTGCTGCTGATGCAGACTGATTTTTTTTCACCTGATGACGGACGCTTGTGTTGCGCCCGAAACGTCGTGATTTATTTTATTTTATACCTACGTGACTTTACCGAAAGAACCAAAGAGTTTGGGAATCCCAAGTTATGAGTCTCAGCCTGGGACCCATAGTTACCTTCCTTTCTTTTTATCTTCATAGTTATGTTATTACAGACCGGTAGCATCATCTGAATGTAATGTGTGTAACTAATATCTTTTTTGTTTTACGTGTGCCAATAGCAGGACTTAACATTTTAGATAGTTTTGCGCATGTATATTTAACAATATTGGATATTAGACCTGGAAAGGTAATTCGCCAATAAACTCAAAAATATTATTTGTGGAGACAGAACGGGGGTCTGCTGCTTATATATGCATTCGTCGGAGTACATCTTGTTGTTCTATCTAAGGCATTATCTGATTATGATTGATTTGCAGGAAATTTTCTGGAGCGGGACAAATGCATTGGTGCACAAGTATTCAGGGGCGAGGCTGTTAACGCTCGAGGATTCCCTGGCTGGTTACATCGCAAACAACCTCAACTGGTGCCCAATCGCTGGCAATCCAGGTATGAAATGTTGCCTGTTATACGAATATGTAGCTATTGAAGAGGTGGCTGGGTGACTCAGAGGTCAGATTGCTTCGATGAGCACGGTTGGCTACGTAAGGTGCTCACCATACAGTGCATACTTACTCTTCATTTGAAGCTCTCGTGACTGCAGGAATCCATACTCTTTGGTTCTTTCGGTAAAGTCACGTAGGTATCAAATAACATAAATCACGACGTTTAAGGCGCAAACACAAGCGTCCATCATCAGGTGGGAAAGCCTTTCCCACCTATTGATAGACGATTTCTTTTCTTTTTTATACCTACGTGACTTTACCGAAAGAACCAAAGAGTACAGTACATACTTACTTGGTGGCTCAGATCAGCATGGGCATCAAGTCGAGTGAACAATCCGACACAGGTGCAAACGCAGGTTGGGGGCACGTGGAAAACTCTGAACCGACTTTGCGCCCAGGTCGGCAGGTTAAATATCCCACCTGGCCACACGACGGCGCTCCACAATACCAGAGAGATGCTGCTGCTGCGACCGCTGCGACGAGAAGTGCAGCACCTCGTGGTCTGCCCGCTGCTCGAGGAAGGCCCCTGCACTGTGCAGGGACCTTGCAGAAGGCAAACCTGCGAGCGCTGATATGCGCTCGCCACTGAGAAGACGTTTGGCTTTGGCAGATGGACCCGAAAATAATGCTATGATACTGAGTTTCAATATGGTCAGTGACCTGTCATTAAACTGGGTTCTCAAGTGGAGTGACTCACTGGTTCCAGGCCGGTTACCAATGACGGTACAAAAACAAATGCTGGCAATAGATTTGTTTTTTCACTTAATACGACAAAATTAAATCTCATAAGCATAAAAAATACCAGTTTGACTATCATGCGATAATCCAATAACAGGACACGTCTCACTTGTATTGTTACCACAATGGTTAATGTTGACATTAAATGTGTGCTTCAATACCTCTGCTCATGTCTAATTCTACAAGATTGACTGTTTCTTATCTTCTGTATTGTTAAAAACAATGGGAAAGAATATTTCCTCCTTTTCTCACGTTGCTCAACATTTGAAATGTCCTCCCCTCATCACTTTCCCCAAGTTCATATAACCTTAGGGGCCGTCCATAAATGACGTCACGCGATTTTGGACGATTTTTTACCCCCCCCCCCTCGCCACATGGGGTCACAAAAAGTCAGACCCTCCTCAAATATGACATCACAAAGTTCTTCCCCCCCCCCCAAAAAAAAAAAACATGCTTCAAATCGCTTTAAACTATTGTCATTGTAGTGCGTATTTAATGTGGCACTGCACTCTCATGTTGTAGGAGAAAACATTTATTAAAAAGTCTATTTAATTAAGTAGAACGTGTTGTCTATATTTATTTAAAGTTGCGCATTTTGATGTGACGTCACATTTCTCAAATCCCCCCACCTCGTCACACATCGTCACAAATGTCTGACCCTAGGTGCGTGACGTCATTTATGGACGGCCCCTTATTCATTTCAAGAAATGTGCTCCCCTGTTCTGTACTCTCACTAGTGTTCTTCGTTGCTGGCCCCTTGAGCATAGCATTTAATTAGACCTGTGCTCAACAGCTGTGATCAAATATACGTGACTCTCACATCCAGGTCCCTAAATCTCCACTGTCACCTCCATAACACTCACAGCATTACGGATAACTCTTAAAATTAATTTGAAAGACCATGCAATGAACAAGGAGTTCCTGGACAGAGACAAAGAATAAAGGCTACTGAGTTAGGTCAAGTAAAGGAAACTGCAATATTTTAGACCAGGATGAATGGCGAATGGCTGCAAAGGATGCTTTAAACTTTTATTTTACCAGGTAAGGCCCACTGAGCTATATTGCTCTTTTTTCAGAAGCGACCTGGCCACAAATATTAGCTCAACAAAGTGGCTTATTATATGGCATATATAGCAGCCAAATACTCTTAAACGCGTGTTTCTAAATGTGTAAATAAAAACTGAAGAAAATCCACGCGACCACAGGGAGAATACGCAACCTCCAAATATACAGGCGTCAGGGTGGGGATCGAACGCATGACTTCCTGTAAACCAGGCAAGGTAGTTAACATCTCGCCACTGCAGCACCCTGATGAAGGGAATGCTTATCGATGCGAGAGGAAGACCACGATCTGACTGGACGTTCAACATTGAACACTGGGCTGGAAGGAAGTTACCTCAGTTAAAAGACAGTGAAGGGGAATGACAACTGAAAGGAGATATCGGTGAAAGACAAGCCAAGGGACTAGAAGAAGAATAATCCCTCTGACCTCCGCTAGCACTACATCTCACAAGCATTCACATTGCAAAAACCTGACTATCCGGCCTTATGTTAGATCTTCAACTTTAGCATTAGCATTGCCTAGCTCCGATTATATATATAATTTATCTCAAAGACGTAGAGTTTGTGCGTATTGCTGGGTTTGAGTACAATTCTGCTGTACTCAAACACGTATATTCAATTAAAATTGAATATAAAATTAAAATTCAATCAAAATTGAATATACGTGTTGAATAGCATATTTACTTAAATTTCCCGTTGGTAGCAGCAAATGAATATACTGAGAGCTTTTTATATGGTGTTTGCAATGCGTGTATACATATTTCATTACCCTTTTTCTGTGAACATTCAGATCTGGATTACACTTCCTGCCCTGGCTATTCGGAGTGTGACAATAATGCTGTCAAATCTTTCTGGATGATGGCCTCCAAATCGGTATTGTAACTACATCACAATTATATCACACTCCCGCACCTCTGATTAGCACGGTTGGCCACGTACGCTGCGAAAGAAGTTTAACGTACATACACTCTAAACTTTGTATTCTGTCTCGTTAATGGACATGGACTTTGGGAACAGTTAAAACCAATTGTTAACCTGCATATTCTACTCGGTTGTTATGTACTCACTGAAAATGTATATCCCCATTGCGATGCCTTTTGTAGTTTGCGCAGAATGTTCGTGGAGTTGTTAGAGTGATGCTTAACGGATCCAGGGAGGGTGGTGCATTCTATTCAGGAAGGTAAGTCAGCTGATTATCCATTGTTTGCATTGTTTATGGCCGAGCCGGTCATGTTAGAAACATGGTTTAACGTTGAATTATGAATAAAAAAAAAACAAGTTGTGTTTTTGATACTTGAGAAAGTTGCAGTTGCAGTCATGAATGTTGTTTGTCTTTGTGGCCTGTGTCTCGTTGCAGTATCTTTGGAACGATTGAGCTGCCAAATCTCCCGAAAGACAACGTCTCTGAAATCCATCTTTGGATTATTGATACATTGAATGGACCTGATAGGTAATTGGGTTATTAAATAAGAAGCAATTATTGGCAGTGAATGAGCAACATGGAAAATAACATATACTTTATCTTGACTTAAAGCATTCGTGACTGCAGGAATTCATATACTTTGGGTCTTTAAGTACACAACTATAACTATAACCATAAGCATAACCACCGCAACATACCCCAGAATATAATCACAACAGCCACATAGGCACAACAACACACATTATAGCAATCATAACCACAACAGCCACGTAACAATTACAACAATCATAACCTCAATATAACAACCACAACCATCAGTTTATAACCACCACCACCACATAACCATAACTATCACGTAAACACAATATAATCACAAAAGCCACAATATAACCACAACCATAAGCACATTATAACCACAACCTTAATCATGTTATAACCAGAACCAAAGTTATAACCAGAACCACATATAACAACAGCCTAACCATCCCATTATAACCACAACAACATTGTCACAACAAACTTGATTTGAAGCTTTCGTGACTGCTGGAATTACTCTTTGGTTCTTTTGGTAAAGTCACGTAAAAAATAAATAAACTAAATAATAGAATACGACGTTTCGATTGCAACACAAGCAATCGTCATCAGGTAGAAAACAAACCTAGTTAAACTTAGAAATATAATGCAATACAACACAGAGAGTCGGCTAACACAACAGTCAACACCCTACCTGGTTGATTACGTTCTTCCAAAGATTGCTAAATTTGAGAGAGAGAAGGTACTTTACCAGAAGAACCAAAGAGTAATTCCAGCAGTCACGAAAGCTTTAAATCAAGTTTGAACCACCTCTATGGGGAGGATTTAAGTTTGTTTTCTCTCTCTGTGTGTCTCTGTTAAATTTCACACTTAACTTCTAATTTAGCAATCTTTTGCGTTAACTGTGTGTTAACCGACAAGGGGGTAGGGGTGAGCATTGCCTGATAAAAATATTTCACTGGTTTCAGAAACTAATAAAACAATTTCATGTATATTGTATATTTCCACAGCTAGAGATTTGTATTATTATATATTTCATTCCTTAAAAATATCGTTTGGGAATTCCAGAGCATGACATACGGATGGACACTTGTGACTTATGTGATCAACCGAGTGACCTAACAGGAGGTTGACCAACAGCAGCTGTGACTGAAAGGTGGCCTTCATTTGCAAAATGTTGATAATGATTCCACTAACGATGCTTTTACAAATGCTGGTTTGGTATTACAGGAATGGATATATTTAAAGTACTGCACTGCAGTTATATTCAGGGGTCTTGTGTTATGGTGGTCTAAGCTTTCAGAAAAGCAATGGTGACTGAAAATTACTCCACCTTGCGTCCAAAATGTATGTTCATGAAGAAACGTTGTTAAAGAACATGCCGACAAAAACAAGCATTGTTGTTGGCCGAACTGTAAAACATTGTAGTTGGGTTGTCACCAAGTCATTGTGTGATCGTTAAATTAATATGTTTTGAAGAAACGGCCTTTACGGGTCTCGCAGTTGAGACCCGTATGTAGGTTTTAAGATATGTTCACAAGAACTCAGAAATCGCTATTGCTGCCTACTCACATGAGTGTGGTCGGAAATCAACATTAGGTCAATGGGTTCATGGTACAGTGCGCTAACCACATCTGCACTCCACACTTAACCCAACATGTGTGTTTGTACGTTGCCAACCGTGATAAGCAGAGGTGCGGGAATTGTATTAAATATGATACAAATTTTTTTATGAAATAATGTTAAGAGTTACACTGTTTTGAGTTGTTAAGAATGCCTACTATAATAGAAATCTCTTAGCAAATGTGTTGTGAGCATGTGTAATGTATCTATCGTAACAGGGAGTCATGTGGTGTTGGCTCTGTGGCTCATCTGGAAGCTCGCCTAAAGGAACATGGATTCAAGTACAGCTGTTATGATAACTGCAAGTGAGGATCTTGCTTTTACAGTCATGCTTGTAGCCAAACCTACAATTATTATTACCAAGAGCATTGACCAACGCATGTGTCTGCAGTAACGTGATTTATCTGTATGTCTGCTCATGGGTTTCTGTATCTCTATTGTAATAATTAATTGATACATCAATTAAAATGTATATTTATGCTCAGGATACATTTGTTGTTATATCGTGCACATATGAAACGTGGACATTGTGCAAATTATATGCAACTTATAGGAAAATGTTACCTGCAGGTTAATAGTGCGAGAAATAAGAGAGAGAATACATAACGAGAGAAAAAATAATACACGGTACATCTGTTTCTGGTATTTGTAGGCCACTCAGATGGCCCCATATAGAGTTAATACCGTTTCATATATGTTGTAATATCGTGAACTTGACCATAATTGTCATCGACTTGTAACAGGAAAAACAATGGCGGTCGTTTCCCTCAATTCTGTAGATCTGTGCTCCATATGCAGTGCGTGGATCTGCCCAACATTCCCATCTGCCAATTTGCAAACAACGACTCCTCGCCGGGTAACTCGGCCACCATGCTGTCTTCACCGCTGAACGCACTCGTGGCGCGTATCCGCCGCCTTGTGGTGCCCATGTAAGGCGGTGGCGAGGATGGAAAGCTGCCACAAATGTTGGCTTTGGTTGATTACACCAGGCACGAGTCATTTAAAGTTCTGGAGGAGATTGATGAAAGAACAAAAAACAACCAAGTTCATGTGCAGGTGATGGGTGGATTATTACATCGCAAGGTCGTGGGAGGTTGTGACTGCCTAGGGAGGCCTACATCCAGCATCATCACAATCCATGGGCAGATAGCCCGTAGATGTCTACTCCACATTTCGTCATTTGTTTCCACTTCTGTCTTGTGCCAATATGTTCAAGTAGTGCTACATCTTCATCCAGCAGGGTAGTGCTTTTAGTGCAATTTACGAGTGGTACTGTGTCAGGCCTGCTTTGCTTTCATCCATTTCCCTTCAACTGCCATCCCTCAGTCAATTAAGACATATTTTGGAGTTGCTCATGTATTAGATGATTGGTTCTTAACCTGGGGTGCATGCACCCCCTGAGGGGTGCACGATGCAGGCTGCAGTGAAGGTTAAGGACTACTGTATTATATGAAAAGCAGAGACTTAATGTGTACTTTAATAAACGCAACATTTAGGTGTATTAGAGGGAGTTCGTTTTTATAACCGTATGCTCTAATCACATGGCAGAATGGAGGGCAACTTAAACTGCATTTATTTATTATCCCCTCTTTGTGGCAACTGGCAAATCTGGCAAACAAAGGTGGAACGCCCATGACAGTATTGAATAAAGCATCACTTTTTGTTGTCCAATTAAACATTCCATTGCAAAGTGTTACCCAAATATCATGCAGTTTAGCAATGGAAGCAATCGATAACACATTACAGCACAAATGAATACATCTAATGCTCGGCTGTTGATAATGTAATCCTTTGCAATGAGTGTATGATAACCTATTCAATGCAATGTGATAATCTCTATGTCATTGTAGTATTTTCATGATACTCTGGTAATTATTGTGAGATTCGGCTGTCAAGGGGCTGGAGTGTAGCCATGTTGATGTGATTTGACGGTGTTTTTCTGGTGTCCATGCTCTTGTTGATATAACACTTGTTTTTCTCTATGGGTTGAAATAAAAGCTGATAACTTAAATAAACGCATATCTACAAAATACGACTGCTGATCTCTACAGGTGTTTACTTGGATGTATGTTTGTCTGGAGAACTTCTTCTAGTCCTCCTATTTTGATGAACGAGGTGTCATTTGAAGTATATAATATTTCATTATACAAATGGATGGATGATTTGGGTAATTGGCATATAGACCCCAGTGGTACGTATCTGTTCTATAACTTACAATATTATGGCATGTAACGCAAGCTCCGTTTAAAAATCATATGATTTATAGGTATTTAGATTAGCACGGTTGGCTCCGCACCTCCGATGAACACGGTTGGCTACGTACGGTGGGAAAGAAATTCAGCATACATGCACACGTATCTCCCTTTCGAATTTCTCCCAACCGCCAACTCTTCTGGTTACATTTAAACCTGAGTGCTTCGTTCGAATGCGAACTCCCCCAATCACTGGTTGCGTATAGTCAGCTGCCAAGCCGGATCCATCCGTCCTCAGCTGTTAGTCGCCGTGAGTGCCCAGTTTGAAATTGGGTTTGCAACAGCAGCTGTCTCACTTCGAATCAGTCAATTGGCATGTTTTCATCCGCTGAATAATGCTGTGTAGAAGCTACCTGGTATGTTCGCCTAAGGGATTTCCCTCCCTTCACATTGCTTGTGAAACGTTAACTCCTCGAAAGGAACAGCTGCGTTGGCTTGAAACATTCGAGCTGATCTGTATAAGATCCATCCTGGGTTTAAACAGACTGGACTGTGTAAGGAGCTCACAGATCCTTGGAAAATCTGGACACAGTCCCATCAATGAGCTCCTCTGTCAGGTTAGGCTGCGTTGGTTGAATCATGTAGCCTGCATGCCCATCCACCGCATGTCCAAGCAATTTTTGTTTGGCTGGATATTAGGTGGTAAACGGCCACAGCATGGGCCAGAGAAGAGATGGACTGGTGTGGTACGGGAGGATACCGAGGACTGGAACCAGCTGTGTCAATATTGGCCTCTGTGCAGGAGGGTCGTGAAGGAAGCTACTGACCAGTTGGAGTCGCTCTCCAACAACAACGCTGGCCAGAGGAGTGATGCTCACAACAATGAGCAGAGCGCTTGGTGGCTAAAACGCAAGTGAGATGGCACAGTTGGCACGGGTGGTGCATCTAGCAGTCATCTCAGCCAACCCATGGCACCTGGGTCCTCCTACCAGCGTGCCTTCGAAACTTCATATAGTTTCAAAGTGCACATAGCCTGGCACAAGCCTCGTGGTGACGTCGTTTGTTATTGTTTAGTTTACGTGTGTTTATTAGAGTGTGGCTATGTGAGCATGTTGTTTGTGAGAGTGTGTATATATGTGGACATGTGGGGAGTAGTGGTGTAGCGGTTCGCGCGCTGTGCTACGAACCGAGGAAACTGAGTTCAATTCCTGCTCATACACAAAACTAGTGACGAATATCTGAACCGGTCCTGGGCCCCTCCTAGGTCGACTCAGCCTCAAATAAGTACCTTGTGCGATGTGTAAACATCGCTACTCGGGAAACAAAGGCGGCTGGGCGTGGTACTGGAAACTCAACCCATCATGGGCTGTGCTGGCCTTCATATGTGCTTACTAACAGCACTTGCGTCAAAAGTCTGTTAAGGCTATAGAAATGGGATTGGTCTCAAATGCACATATAAATAACAGTTTGAGGAAGTACTGTCTGTACAGGATGTAAATGTTCACAAGTGTGGTGACATCACACGAGATATTCCATTGTAGGGTCTCTATGCTACCACACACACCATGCATGCCATGGTCTCAAGGACACGAGGCATCGATCGTCGTGTAATCAGTGGCGGCTCGTGACATTGCCACGAGGTGGGGCTGTTGTGAGTCACCTCTGAAAAGATGGCGTTCTAATTAAGAAAATCCTCATCATGGTATTGGCCTTCCCGTGAAAGTGATATAACTGTGATAATTGTTTTTTTACCCTTTTATCTGGCAACAAAACTGACACCTTTTTACAAGGAGTCATGTTTGCATAGACCACAATACCTGCAGTCGGAAAGCAAACAAAAAACATAACTCTGATAATGTATGCACTGTCCTTGAAGTTGATTGGTCCACACCCGAGACAGCGTTCCTTAGAGCCTAGTCTCACATGCTGTTGGACCAATGCAAACATGACGCCTTGTAAAAAAAAGGTGTCAGTTTTGTTGCCAGATAAAGATTTACGATGTTAAGTGAGGCAACAACATTGTTCCAAAACGTTGCTCCTGTTATGGCAAAGGCTTTGTCAGCTATTCCAATTCTTGTTCTTGGGATAGCTAAAAGGCAATTCGATTTCTTGGATTTGACAATGGGGTTAATGAATTAGCTAACCATAGCGCAGATTTGCCAAACACATTCCTGCGGAGGTAGCTGGTAGGAACGTTGGGTTGCTCGGTCAATGGCCAGGGTCAACGGCGGCGTGGTGTATTCCGCAAATATGGCCGACTGTGAGGGCGGGCACAAGCCGGCGTGAGTAGGTTAAACGGTGAGTTTTATAAGGGCACCACGGGGTGACCAGCCCCTCCCCACCCAGCCCCTCCCCACACTCCCCACCCAGCCCCTCCCTTCTCACCCTCCCCACCCAGCCTCTCACCACCCTCCCCTCTCCACCCAGCCCCACCCCTCTCATTTTCGGATGCACGACGGGCGGACGGACACAATAATCCCCTGTGGGCTGGTGTAACCAGGAGGTTCCTACCAGTGTATTTTATTTGCACTGCGGTACATCGCACACAGGTAATACGGTTTAACGTCAGCTGACTTCATGTTCATCTTACACACTGTTTATAAACATGTAAATGCTATTCAATGTATGCCATCTACAGTACAGTATACTGCATAACTGGCTGAGCGCCATGTGGCCTTTAGCAGCATTCAGCGTTCAATGTTGAACGATCAAAACCGTTGATTTTTGAACGCTGCAACAACAAGAGCCCTGGATCTCGTCCAAAGGTTTTTGTTCCTTTTTTTTGTTAGTTTCAGGAAGTACAGTAAGCCCCAAGTGTGGGTCGACTGCAGCCAGACATTGCATTGTAGGCGCTCTGTGCTAACACACAAACATCCCGCACATCATTCTGTGCCACGTCAGTTGATAGAAGAGGGTTTTTACTGGTAGGAACGAAGTGGACCAGCCTACAACAGATTATATCGTCCGTCCGTCCATTTGTCCGTCCGTCCGTGTAGCAACATCGCCCCCTACTGCAAACACTTAGCATGACCCTACAAAAACCTTTAGACTCTGTGAGGCTTTCCTGGCTAAACAAGTGTAACATTCCCTTATAATTCCCTCAGATAGCTTTTAATTAAAACATTTAAATTAATGAGGCTTTCCTGGCTAAACACGTGTAACATTCCCTTATAATTCGCTGAGATAGCTTTTAATAAAAACTTTGAAATTAAATAAAAAAAACTCACAGCGCCCTAAAGCCTACAGCTAGGCCTAAAGCCTAGAACTAGGCCTCAAAGTCTCCCTTCGTATCGTACCCCCCCCCCCCCGCGTGTGTGCAAGGGAGTTAATGTTTAACAATGTTACATTCCCTGATGCTTTTAAATAGAAACATTTAAATTTAAAGCTTTTACATAAATAATAAAAACATTTAAATTAAAAATTAACTCACGGCGGCCTAAAGCCTACAGCTAGGCCTCAAGCCTCGAACAACGTCTCAAACTCTCCCTTCGTATCGTTCCCCCGCGTGTGTGCAAGGGAGTTAATGTTTAACAATTTTACATTCCCTGATGCTTTTAAATAGAAACATTTAAATTTAAAGCTTTTACATAAATAATTGAAACAAGTAAATTCAAAATTAACTCACGGCGCCCTAAAGCCTACAGCTAGGCCTAAAGCCTAGACCTAGGCCTCAAACTCTCCCTTCGTATCGTACCCCCACGTGTGTGAAAGGGAGTTAATGTTTAACAATGTTACATTCCCTGATGTTTTTTTAATAGAAACATTTACATTTAAAGCTTTTACATTAAAAACAACTCCCTACCCCTCCTCGTCGGCGGCACGAGGTGGAGAGCGGGGCTACGCGGGGTTGGGGCGGGGTTACGGCGGTAAGGGGCGGGGCAACGACCTGGAGCAGGGGACACCGAGATGGGGCGGGGCCACGGGTGGCCGGGGCGGGGTTACGCGGGTGGAGAGTAGGGCCACGGAGCATCCACTTATTGGCGGCCATTTTTTGCCATTTCATTTTATTATAGCCACTAGCAGTCGCCGCCCGCTTCGCGGGCGGTGTGTATGTACCTGGTTGGTGGGGATTTGAAAGTGGCTGGACACAATATACATGTTTTGGTGATTGTTTTATGTTTATTTTTGTGAGGTTATATCTATTTTAATGAGATGCTCAATGGACAATATTCAATAATGCAACTTATTCAAATATAGAATGCAACTTATTCAAATATCTGGCGACACACGCTATTCTTCGTGTACACTCCGTCTTCCTCCTCGTCGTCAGGTCCCTCAATAAGCGCCTTGATGTTGGATCTTGCCGTGACTCGCGATAGTGCCACATACAGTTGGCCGTGCGATAGGCATGGTGTTGGTAGATATAATGCCAGGTTGTGAACAGTTTGCCCTTGCGCCTTGTTGATGGTCATTGCGAAGGCTGGGACAATGGGGAACTGCTTGCGCCGAAGTCGAAATGGGAAGTCCTTCGTGTCGTCGTCGCTGATTAAGAGGATCCGAGGGATCAACACCTCATTACCGTTATGGGTTCCTGTCATGATTGTCGCGCGAATGACGTGTGGCTTCATTTCCACGATGCGAAGCCGTGTTCCGTTGCACAGGCCAGCGTCCGGGTTCAAGTTGCGCATCATCATCACTGGGATGCCTTTGTTGAGGATCAACTTGTGTGGCGGAACTCCATTGATGTTCACCGAGTTGAGGACATCTGTATCAAAGAATGCTGACCCTGCTCTCTCGTCGTCCTCAACCGAATCTGTAGACAGGTACACTTGTGGAGCTTCTCTGAGGCGATCCACGACAGCCTCATTCACTCGCTGCACAGCGGCGTTGGTCGGCGTCAGAATAGTGCGGTGAGCGAAGTAGTCGTTCGTTGCCACCGTAGGGTAATTCAATTCATCTGCACTGTACATGGCATCGACAATCCTCTTCATCCCGAGTGGAATGGGCAGATGATTGCCGTCCTCATCTCCGTCGATGTCTGGGTCATATTCAGGATTGTCGATCACCATGGCAGGCGGAATCTTCATGCAATCCGGACCGAGGTCCGGATCAACTTCATGCCTACCCTCTCCGACTTCCAAAAAAAATTCAGAAAAGGCAGCCAGTTCTGCGGCTGATTCTTGGTTCTCTGCGCACTGGACTCTCATGTTGACAGTCAGATGATCTTGCTTGAAGTGGGACCACAGGTCGGACGACTTGAAACACGCATCCACAGTATCAGCTGGTGTTCTTTTCTTCACAACTGGCAGAATCTGTCAAAAGTCACCGGACAGGACAACCACTTTGCCTCCAAACGGTTCATGCAGATTGTCCAAAATATCGTGAAGCGTGCAATCCACCGCTTCAAACGCAAACCGGTGCGTCATTGGGGCTTTATCCCAAACGATAAGACTTGCCTCCTTGATAAATGCTTTGAGCTGGAAGCAGCAGCGAGGCAATGCCGCTGGAAGCAACAGCAATCGCAATCTTGCCTTGAAGACGTATCTTCGCCGGCACATGTTTGAGCAGCGTGGACTTCCCCGTGCCGCCCGGACCATCGATGAAGAACAGCTTTTGATCGGGTTGACTGTCTTTGACTGAGCCAACAATTTCGTCGTAGATTTCTCTCTGGTTCGTGTTGAGTCTGTCAGCACATTCTACGATGTCTTGTAGCTCGTTTCTATCATATCCTTCCAATTTGCGGCGGATGTGGTTGTTCTCAAGCAGCGAGTCCAAGACCAAGTGTGGGTACTTGGAAAGCTGCGGGAGGTCGTCAAAGTCCGACAGAGCCATCCCACCTGCCGTGAGGAACTCGTGGAGGCTGTGAAGGGTCTTGAACTTTACCATTTCTTTTATTTTCTTTGATGCTGCTAATCCTGCATAATGCACGGGTATAAGTAGTACTAATCACATACCTGCATTTCCCATATCCCTTCCCTTTGATGCTGCTAATCCTGCATAATGCACGGGCATAAGTAGTACTAATCACATACCTGCATTTCCCATAAATATGCTAAATTCCTCTTGAAATGCAAATTCTTTTGTCAAGGCGCCCTTTCCCCCCCTTCCAACCCAGCTTATATATATATATGCTCCAAGCACGTGTGCTGTTTCATTCAGACGCTGTCGCCTCGACAGACCTGGTTTTCACGTGAGGATGGCTGCTTGCGTTGTGGCCAAAACGTCGTGAGAATTATTTTATTATGTTTTATTTTTATTATTTTATTACTTCCCTTCTACGTGACTTTACCGAAAGAACCAAGAAGATTTACTATTTCTTCTTTGTTGGTCAGCTGGCGGTACTGGTACTCGTAATCGCGAGCCAATTCGTCGTAGAATTTATCCCAGAGAGCATTTGTATCTGCTGGCATGAAATACAGCAGAATCGTAGCGAAGAGTTGACGAAGCTGGTATGGCACCTGAAAGAGCGAGGCTTCTTCCAGACACGCAACCCATTCGCGATCGCTCTCAAGGTAGCCTGCTCGCATGGCTGCTTCCAGCGGTTTGTTTTGTTTTATTTTATTCGTAACGCACCATCCATATGCGTTCCACTATCCACCATGCCCTTGCATCGCAAAGACACAGCTCCGGTGTGCGTCAGCGTGTGCGCCATCCACAGTGACATTGGTCAGCAATTGCACCATTCCGATCGCACACAGGTTGGCCCCTGCATCCTCCGTCTGTATGTACACACACAGACAGATGCGCTATGGGGCCACCTATTTTCTTCTTATATTAAAATGTATTTTGTTGGTGTTTTTACGTTTACGTATTCCCATTGTGGGTGTTTTACGCATGCATCAGATTTTTGGGTTCCTCACATATGGTATCAGAGGTGTGAGTCACTCCATTTCTCAATCGAACAATAACGGGGATCGTTTCAGTTATGACAGCTTGCAGATAGAAACATTGCATGATCATATACTAATAATGACAGAATGTGTACCCCAGTGGAGGGCATCCCCCACCCGGCGCTTCTTACCGGTACTGTGAGACTTACAAATCCAGACCTGTCCTCCTCCTGAACCGTTCACAATACCCTGTGGTAGTACCATAATCATCTCAATAAATCGATCACTTTGCAATGCCCATTTTGATCCCGGGAGTTACCCGGGTGGTCACACTGTACTCATTGTTTTAGCATGTCGCAAATTCCGATATGGCTTGTGCAACGGCCAGAGAGTGACAGCAGCGGGGGCTGGGCTGCAACCTTTTTAGACAGTTTATTACATTTCAAAGTGCATGGGATTGGCACTCCAAAACATCATAAATGTACAGTAACGCCAACTGCATCCGTGGCAAACATGATACGCGGACACATGCTGCATATTATGCAACACATGCCCTTACCAGCAGCAGCATGCACAACATGTCAATTACACAACCGAAGTAGACAGCAAGCCGTCCATGGAGACGTGATCAACGTCAATACATAATAATGGTAATACGCCGGATAAACCAAAAAGTACCCATTGTACCCATAAAACAGTCAGCTGTGTTGCCCCATGGGGGTATTGACCCATGGGCGAAACTGTAGGGGGCGCTACGCAACTGGCCGTGGTCCCGGCAGGTGAAGCTGCCAGCTCAGTCCGCTAAGACTCACTGTATAGCGACCCCTGCCTACTCGTAAGGTAAAGTTGTTTGGGGACTCCACTAATCGCAGCACCCATTTTTGACATAAATATACGTAATATTAGCGTAACTACCATTCGCACACTTGCATACACACCACACTCACACAGCGCGGGGTCTGCGCCCACAGTGCACTGCACCACTGCGGCGCAGACCTTGCCAGACCTATGCTTTCGCTCCCTTCCGGATGTTTTATTTGTTTATTTTTATCGAATCAGAGTGAGCTGTCAGGGTGGGGCCGTAAATAAATAAATAAACGCCCAGACACGCACGCAGAAGACCAAACCAGCGTAGTTGTTTAAAGAAAGATAAAGAAAGATTCAATTGTTCGTTCCTACCAGCCCACCCCGCAGGGCCCTGTTTTTCCTTCTTGAATGTTTTGGCAATGGGCAGTTTTGTACTGTGGGGTCTGACGCTCGCGGTTGTGCCGTGGGGCTATGGATTTCCAGCAGAATTCGTACCAGGAACCACCCCAAGCCTGCGAAGCAAGGTGACTGGAAGATGCAGAGACTACGTGCAGAGCCATCCTGACCTTGGGTGAGTGGGTGGGTGGGTGTCGTTAACAACGCAGATGGTGGTGATGGTGATTACGGTGATAATGCTGAAGATGATGGTGTTGATGATAGCAATTTTTACAAGGCGTATTGTTTGGGATATCTTTGCCTTTGTTTATGATATCGCGTAATTGAGAGGCAATTTCCATTTCTAACTTCTCTATTTTCAAATATACAGTAGTTCACTTATCAGTACTATAATATATTTTGAGATGTTTCCGTTTATGATATAAACAATAGTCAAGAACACTCAGCTGGCTTACATACGATGTCCATTATTTATTTCCATTAAATTTTTAACGTGTGTTGAACTATAATTGAAAATGTAAAATATCAAAGAGTGCAAAAGAAAAAAATGCACCACTAAATGTGGTTACTGTGTAGCATTAGGTTGTCCTAAAAGGTGACTCGAAGGCTAATGTTGTGACTTTCATAACATTCTGAAGGCAGGCCATAGTTTAAAATTTTGCGATGTAAATCTCAGCACTGTCCAATATAAACTGTTTAACCTTATATTAAGACAAAGCTATCTTTTTCCTTTAGGAATAAAGATTGTGAGAAGATTTGGGAAGCATTTTACAATGCATTAATGAACAAAAAAAATTGTAACATCTCTTCAGATAGTTACACGAATTTCATTAATTTGGCACATCATTCTGTGCCACAAGACAAGGTGACGTATTTAGACATTCTGAGTTACGTATTTACACGCCACATCATGTTTTCGTATACAGTATCTCTGTGAAACGTGTTCATTCTATGACAATGTGTTTTCAGGCACTCTTTTGGAGTAAAAGAAAAGCGTGTAAGCACAGAGACCGGATCAGGTTTGAAGAAACGCTGATGGGTTATATATTAGATGACATGCACTGGTGCCCAACTAAAGATGGTAAAGGTATGAACGATGTGAAGATGCACACTGCCTTGCAATCGTGGTTCACAACCTTTTGCTAGTCGTGTACCCCCGAACGGATAGCCAATCGTCAGCATAGCTCTACCAGAACATTAGGTTTCTTTTTTTAACATGCCAGAATTGGTCGTATTGGCGGTACACCGGTGCAGCATAACACATCGGTCCTCGTAAAACAGTCTCACGAATGTCGCTGTTGTCCTTGAGTGAGCTGCAGCCTCACCATCAGAAGTCGCCTTAGATTGAGCAGCTGCTTTGCCATTCGAACGTGTGACAGACACCGTGAGTAAAAAAATGTTGATGCCACCATCCGCTAAGAAATTATTTCTGAAATTAATCGAGGAACCGTCTGACCAAGTCTTGGGCACGAGGAGTCAAATTTGCCTTTGGAACACAGAGCCAGCCAGTCGTCATCAGGCTGGGTGCTGCTATATGGCAACAGACTGTGAATCTTCGTGTTTAGCTGCTCATAACATCTGTCTTCGACTGCTTCGACATCACGACAACTGATTTTGACGCACCACCCCACAACATTCTGTCACCGGGGGAAAATATATATAAAATAAATAATGATTGCAAAAAATCTATTTTTTATCGCGCACCGGTGTACCGCCAATACGTTCATTTATTTGTTTACTTAGAAAGTTGTTCACGCTGCAAATTATACCATTGAAAATGTACTGCATATTCTATGGTAAAGTCACGTAGATAGAAAAAAATAATAATAGAAAGAAAGTGATTAAAAATATCACGACGTTTTGATCGCAACACAAGCGGTCGTCACCAGGAACAGAAAATAATCACTTTATTTTTTATTTTTTCTATCGACGGGACTTTACCGAAAGAACCATAGAATATTAATTCCTGCAGTCACGAAAGTTTTAAGTCAAAATTTTAATTACTGCATTTTTACACTAAATTAGCACCTGACATTCAGTTCGGAATTAATAACTTCAGAATAATTAACTAAACATTACAAATACATTTTTTTTACATGAATAGCACTTAAAATGTGCTTTTGTAAAGTTTAATGTGAGTCAGCATCACTATGAAGCAGATGTGGAAGTCCAAAGTTACTGTTTGTGAAGTATTCATTTTATTCAAACAAATTTGTTTGGATAACCAATGCATTCAAGTGCAACGGTTTGCCAAATTCCATGGAAGAGACAAGTACAGAATATAGTTTGAGAATTGAGAGTGCGCACACACAAAGGAGCACTACTTAATAATCGCACGTAACCACTACCACTTGAATGATAAATAGCATTGCAACATACTTGAATGAAAATCCAGTGCTGTGTAGACAGATATTTATAATTAAATACTATTTTCATCAATGGTTATCTTTTGTCTTGTCTAAGAGTATGTTTTTTAATTTCAATTTAACTACAATGCCTCCTCACATCACAAAGTTTATAGGTCTCGACAGCGAGATATAGACTCAGATTTGTGTCACGTAATGCATGGACCACACAAGACACCTCAAGCTAGTTCTAATCTAAGTGATTTAATATCGTAAAAATGTCAATCAATATTTTAGAATAACACTTCAGCACTGCAACAATTAAATAATGTTAAGTTAAACCTTCTTGTCTGACGTAAAAACACGTGATATCGGCAATACTGTATATTGGTGTCAAAGTTTGTATGAAGTGTAGGGTGCAAGATTCCAATATGTCCTTCAGTGCTGTGGTTTATGAAAGTGTAGTAAGTATATGGAGGCTTGACGACAGGATCGGAGGCACACTTATTTATTACACCAACACAGTTATTTACAGGTCACTGGGCTACAGGGATTTCTCGACAGCTAACCCCTCTAACCTATACCAATTCCTCCACTACGGGACTAGGGGAGGCTATCTGTCCCAGCTTGGTTAAGCTGGGATCCCGGCTCCCTGAGTCACCAGACCAGCTTCGTCTGGGCTCGCGGGGCCACGCCACCGGCTTGCCCTGGTCGGCCCTTATAAGGACAGCGAGCCAGGGGAGCTCTGGGGCCTACACTAGCAGGTCTTCCGTCTTCTCTGGTTATAGCTGAGTCCCGACTCCCGAGCCTTTCGGCTCATCACCTTTTATAGGACTTGCCCCCAAGGGGGGGCCCGTGGGGGATACACATGCGGACGTCGGTGCGAGCGCCACCCTTGTGTACGGCCGTAACCCCGCCCCTTGTGTTTGTTGGCCATCCGTGGCCATGCATAATCACACCTCAACATTCGTAGACATGCGCAATTACACCTCTACATCACCCCCCCCTGTACAGCTCGCAGCCGTCCCCGGCTGCAAAAAAAATCAGAATAAAGGTGCATCCCTCACAAAAACCCCGTGTGTGCCTCGCGTAATTTTTAACAAGAACAAGAAAACTTCAACAAGAACAACGAGAGGAAGAGAGAGAGAGAGAAAAAAATAACCCGACGCACCCCCCCCGGATAACACCCCAAAACCAACATATATATACACTCCGGACGCCACCTTTCCCATCGTCCGCAAGGCCCCCCAACGGCCGACCTCACAACCCCCTCCCTTTTTGTCCGCAAGGCCCCCCAACGGCCGACCTCACAAAAGTCTGCGCGTTTTGGCGCGCGTTCTCGCGGCGGGTCCGTCACAAGGGCCCGTCCCGGCACGCTCAGTGACGGTTGTTGACGGTCCGGGTGCAAGAGGGTCAGGCTCCGCTGCCGAGTGACCCCCGACCCCTCCGGGAGGGGTTGGTGGGCGTGGGCCCGTCACTCCTGTTTCACCTGGGGACGGAACAGTTGGCGTCAGGTTAGGCGAGTGCAGCGACGACGGGGAGTCGGCGACACCCTCACACGTTTGGCCATGCGTGTGTGTGTGTGAACCCCGGGGCGGCGTGACGAATGGTTTTAACCTTGAGGGGTGCACATACCACCGGCGCCTCCCCCATTTGACGCGAACACATTGCGGCCAAAAAACCTGCACGACCTCCACTGGCCCCCGCCACGGTCGTACCAATTTCGACGAGGTTGCCAGCGGCACCTGAGGACAGTGCAACCACGCCCTGTCCCCTGGTACCCATTTGACCACCTGCACCCGCCCCAACCGAAGCCTCTCGTTCGCCTTCTGGCGGAGTTCAGAATTTTGCACGGCCGCTTCCCGCGCCTCAGACAATTGAGCGATGTTAAATTTAACGTGTTCGGACAAATTAGACTTCGCCTGGAGCGCCGAGAGCTTCAGCTGGGTCGCCACAGGAGGGTTAACTTCGCGCCCATACATTAAAAAGAAAGGGGAAAATCCGGTGGCCGCATGGGGAGCCATTCTGTAGGCCTGCAACACACCGGCTATGCGGAGGTCCCAATCCGTCTGGGATACCGACACCTGCTGGGACAGCATGGACGTGATGGTCCGATGCAGCCGTTCCACCATCCCGTCAGTTTGTGGGTGATACGGAGAGGTCCGAACCTTCTCCGTACCCAAGAGGTCGCACACCTCACGTAGGAGTTTACCAGAAAAATTCCTACCCTGGTCAGTAAGCAGCCGTTCCGGAGCACCCTTGTCGAGGACATAGCCCTGGACAAAGGCCTCCGCGATGGCTGCTGCCGACTGGTTCGCCAGGGGCCAGGCCATAGGCCATCTCGTGAAGTATTCAACCCCCGTTAGTAAATACCTATTGCCCCTGGGTGTAGCGGGAAATGGGCCAAGTATGTCCAGAGCAACGAGCTCGTTAACCCTGGAAACTTTTATGGACTGCAGCGGAGGGTTGGACCCCCTAGCAGGTGGCTTCCTCTGCGCGCATTGCGTGCACGACCCCAAGAGATCCCCCACGTCCTTTTCCATGCCCGGCCAGAAGAAATCTAGCTGGAGCGTGGCAAAGGTCTTATGAACCCCCAAGTGCAGAAGCCGCTCATGAACAGCCCATACCACCTTACCCCTTAAAGCAGCAGGCACCACGAGCCGCTGGCGCCGGGTTTTACCATCCCAGTGCATTAAAAGTCCCTGGAACAACCCCCACGAGTCAACGTTTTCCACCCCCTGGCCAATCCCCCCCGCGCGACGGCGCAGAGCGAGGAGGGAGGTGTCCTCCATTTGGAGGCGACCCCATTCCGCGACTGACAACCCCAGCAACGAATCCCTCCCTTCTTGCTCGATAGGACCCGAAACCGAAGGCGCATCGGCAGCGGCCACGAGGACCGAATCGGTGGTGACGTTCGGAGACCTACAACGCCCCGAACCCAAGAGGCACGCGCACTCCGAAGTGGGTGGCAATCGCGACAGGGCGTCAGCGTTCGTGTGGCGGAGACCCTTACGATATGTGGTGACAAAGTCATAGTCTTGGAGAATCTCCAACCATCGAGACAACTGGCCCGATGGTTGTTGAACCCGCAGGGCGTATTGTAGGGCCGCATGATCTGTACGGACGGTGAACCGCCGACCGTACAGATACGGGCGGTACTGCTGAATGAAATAAACAATCGCCAATAATTCCCGACGGGTAACGCAGTACCGCTGTTCGGCTGGAGACAGTACCCGACTACCGTAAGCCACCACATGCTCTACGCCCCCAATGAGCTGGGACAGCACGCCCCCGATGCCCGTGTTACTTGCATCTGTATCGAGCAAGAAGGGTTGTGAAAAATCCGGGTAATTCAACGGCGGAGCCCCCACCAAAGCATTCCGGAGGGCGCGAAAAGAAGCCTCCTCCTCCGCCTCCCAATGAAACCTGACTCCCTTGGACGTCAAGGCATGCAAAGGTTTCGCAATCGTAGCGAAGTCAGCCACAAATCGCCGATAATACGACGCGAACCCAATGAAACTCCTGACCTCTCCCACAGAGGTGGGAGTCGGCCAGGAGCTGACGCATTCCGTTTTGGCGGGATCAGTGGATATCCCCGAGCGCCCAACAATGTGACCCAAATATCGCACCGATTCGCGGAGTAAATGGCACTTCTGTGGTTTAAATTTCAAATTGGCAGCCCGCATTTTGAGAAAAACAGCACGCAACCTCTGGAGGTGTTCCTCGAAGGATTTGCTAAAGACGATGACATCGTCTAAGTAAATCAGACACGAATCCCATTGCAACCCTGCCAAGACCAATTCCATTAACCGCTGAAAAGTTGCCGGCGCAGAATGTAAACCCATCGGCAAGCGGTTAAATTGGAAGAGACCCTGCGGTGTCCGAAAAGCAGTCTTAGGTTTTGATTCGTCATCCAGAGGAAGCTGCCAGAATCCAGATAGCAAATCGAGGGTGGAAAAGAATCGCGCCCCCGCCAAGGCATCGAGCGACTCATCCATTCGAGGAAGCGGGTACGCATCTGCCACAGAGATTTTGTTCAGACGCCGAAAGTCGACACAAAACTGCAGTGAGCCGTCGTGTTTTTTCACCAAAACGATCGGCGCGCCCCACGGGCTATTGGAAGGGGAAATGATATCGGCGGCTAGCATGTCATCAACAGCCGATTTGACATGATCCTTTTCGGCGGGACTCAACCGAAAGGGATTTTGGCGGATTGGCGCGCTGTCACCCGTGTCAATATGGTGTCGCAGCAATTTAGTACAACCAATATCAAATTTGTGTTGACTAAAAACGTCAGCAAATTCGCTCAGAAGAACTCGCAGCTGCGCGCGCTGCGAGTCGGACAGGTCCACTGAACCCGCGCAAAGCGCATCCAGCCAACCGTCATCACAGTCCGAATGCGGTCGTGACGGAGGATCGGTGGATACCTGACCCACGAGTGGTTCCTCATAGGGTACCGGCGTTGCGTGTGCAAGCACGGTCCCTTGAGGAACCACGGCCGTTCGCGATCCCACATTAAGGACTGCAATGAAGGGGTCCCCATCCCCTCTCACCATGGTCTGAGCCGCGAGCAAATCTGGTCCATTTACCCCGGCCCGAGATGGTCCCAACAAGACCCCCCGATCCGCAACCCCTTCATTAAACGGCCGACGCAACCTAAGAGGGACGAGCATCTGAGCCCCCGGAGGCACGCGCACAGTTTTTGTGACGAACGCCTGCACGGTGGCAAACGCCCGACGCTCCGTGGTGGGGGAAGACAGAAATGTAACGCGTCGGCCCGATGGGAGCTCAATGCACCCTTGGTCAATAAGGATGCGGATGGGCATTTTGGCCAGAAAATCCGTCCCCAACAGGCACGGAACCGCGAGTGAGGAGGAAACCAAAACAGGCCCGGATAATTTAATGTCCCCAATGCAGATAGTGGCGCGGATTTGGCCAATAATGCCCAGAGAGCCCCCGTTAGCGGCATAGCACGGCACGTCAACAGGGAGCAAGGGACGACTTTGAACGGGAAGGATGTTATAAATTAAATCAGATATAATGGTCGCCGATGCCCCTGTGTCAATTAAAATCCGCACCTCTACCCCATCAATGTGACCGACCACGACCGATGATCCCGCCGACGCAGCAACGACACGATGGGCGAGCTCCGACCACTGACCCGGTTGGAGCGCCCGCCGCATTACCGAACAATCGCGCGCGACGGATGGGGAATTTGGAGCCCTGTTTAGTTGGGCGCGTGAGTGTGTGTCGGATGTGTGCGTGGGCCAAACGTGTGAGGTGCCGCGACTCGCCGTATTTCTCTGCTGGAGCTTGGGAGGAGACGGCGTGGCGTCCTGACGAGGTGTCGCCCCGCGCTGACGGGGAGCCCGGCATCCTGACGGAACGTGGCCTTGCAGGCCACAGTTGTAGCAGCGTGTGAGCGCCCCCGATGTCCTGGGCTGCTCCTGGCGGCTCGGTCCATTCCGAGCCTGTGGTACTGCCGCTCTCCATTCCCCTCGCCGCTCCACCCCGCAGACCTCCTCCGATGGGAGGGCGGTAGCCGCCATGGCATGGCTGGCCGCCCCCTTTGCCGCCTTTCGACGAAGGGACCGCAAGCCCCCGTGGATGTGGCGCGCGACCAGCAGGGACGACATCTCTGAGTCGTCTTGAGCCAGGACGTTGACGTCCAGCTCATCAGCGAGTAGCAGCAGCTTCTCAGCCACCATGGCATCCACTCCTTCCTCGTCCATCCTTGGGAAAGCAGCCTTCGCTAGAGCCAGGAGAGCAGTCCGGAAGGCCAGAGGTGATTCGTTGGTGCCCCGACGCCGATCGTGGAAAAGCTGCCTGCAGTCCGAAGGCGGCCCATAGACGGCTGACAGCAGCTGCAACGCCAGGTGTAGGGTGGCGCGCTTTTCCCTCGGCGCCGAGGTGAGGGTAGCCAGGGCGTCGTTGTCCAGCATCGCTGGCAGCGCGCGTAGAGCCTCGGCGTCCGTCCAGTTCGCCATCTCCTGATGAGCGATGAACCGTCTCTTGAAGCCGCCCCAGTCTCCGTCTGCGCCTACGAATTCTTTCAGAGGCGGCAGACGCTGCTGCAAGGCGACGTCCGTGGCTGTAGATCGCTCTCCGTTGCTCCCCGCCGATGATAGTGTGGGCGGGCTGTGCACATGGCATCGCCGGTCGCTCCGATGTTGACGCGCCGGCCGGTGTTGATGATGTCACGGCTTGTGCTTGGCGCTCAGCAGTCACGTGACGCGGGCCGGCCCCGCCGTCCGCTCGCACTGTAGAGATGGCGGGAAATTTAACCGCCAGCCGCGTCGGGGTGGCGGGAAACGTCGCCGCGCGCCGGCTGCTGTCGTCGACCCGCGCTGCCCCTCCAGCCCCCAGCCGTGTGATCTCCTCCAACGCAGCGGCGGCGGCGTAGAGCAGTTCCGCCAGGCGGGAGTGGGCCAGCCGGAGTCCTTCAGCCGACGCATGCCCCCCCTCTTGTCGTAGCGGCACGGGCGTACTTGGCCCCGGCTGCTCCGATCCGACCCCGGCCATCTCTGGTGTTGAATCGGCCGCGGCGTCTTCCATCTCCGACTCCTTGGTACGTGTCGTCCCTCGTGTGTCCATCGTTTGGACGTTTTACTTCTGACACCAGATGTAGTAAGTATATGGAGGCTTGACGACAGGATCGGAGGCACACTTATTTATTACACCAACACAGTTATTTACAGGTCACTGGGCTACAGGGATTTCTCGACAGCTAACCCCTCTAACCTATACCAATTCCTCCACTACGGGACTAGGGGAGGCTATCTGTCCCAGCTTGGTTAAGCTGGGATCCCGGCTCCCTGAGTCACCAGACCAGCTTCGTCTGGGCTCGCGGGGCCACGCCACCGGCTTGCCCTGGTCGGCCCTTATAAGGACAGCGAGCCAGGGGAGCTCTGGGGCCTACACTAGCAGGTCTTCCGTCTTCTCTGGTTATAGCTGAGTCCCGACTCCCGAGCCTTTCGGCTCATCACCTTTTATAGGACTTGCCCCCAAGGGGGGGCCCGTGGGGGATACACATGCGGACGTCGGTGCGAGCGCCACCCTTGTGTACGGCCGTAACCCCGCCCCTTGTGTTTGTTGGCCATCCGTGGCCATGCATAATCACACCTCAACATTCGTAGACATGCGCAATTACACCTCTACAAAAGGATGGAAGGTCTGATTTGGTGATACTATTAACTGTATATACTTTATAATATAATGGCGTTTGTGTTTTCGCTTTTCAGCTTTGAATTATGTAACTTGCAAAGGTTGTGAAGGTGTTGAGAAAAACTTCTGGAGGATTGCTTCAACATGGGTAATACATATTCACATAATTAGCATGCACTTTTTAAAAATTTGACAGGTGCATATTCATCTTGAGGAAATTATATTTGTTTTTTCAAAGTGGTGACAATACTCCACTGTCATTTCATGATTTTGTTTCTCAATGCATTTGAATCTGTTGTTTAGACTCACTTTGAAATCCTCTCCCTTGATGGCCTAGATGTACAATGTTTACTGGCTTGTATGGTCTGCAATTAGCGATGTCTGAAATGTAACTTGAAATAAACAAGGGGAACAAATGCAAATTAGAGACATTGTGACTTGAGAACAAGTAAACCCGTAAAAACAAAGTTTTTCACTATAAATCCTTTATATGCGTTGTGGCTAGAGTCTTCTCGTCCTATGGCTTGAGATGGCTGCCACCTATGGGTCAGATGATTGTCTGCCTGTATTAAGCAATTGGTAATTAAATATTTAATTTGTTTTCCCTAAACAGTGTAAAATTTAGGAAAAAAATTTTCACGAACATTAATTGTCTCGCACAACAAGTCTGTGTGTAAAATGTCAGCTCGATTGTATCACGGGAAGTGGGTTAAAAAACGACCGAAAGATTTGCACGGTCGTAAGCAAGCAAGCAAGCACGCAAGCAAGCACGCAAGCAAGCAAGCGAACTTAATATAAAGGATTTAAAAATAAGCAATATTGGCAGGACCCATCATTATAAAGGGATGATGGCTGATGCACAACACCGGTAAAGGAATCGCAGTCAAAGGAGAGAACTCTCTTGGCAAGATGATGACCACCGAGATTTAGCGATGAGGCTAGCTTGTGTAGGAGCGAGATGGATTGTTGCATCGCGAGATCACGTGGGCTTGCAAGGACCTTTAGGAGGCTTCCTTCCAGCAATGGGTAGGAGGCGTGGCTGACGATGATGATGATTATGGAAAACAATCCCAACGTTATTTTTTTTGCTAATAAAAACTCATCTTGCCTGCTATTGGGCTTTCCGTTACAGTTGCTGCTGAGGAAATAATATTTCATTTTGGTGTGCGCGTATTCATTTTCAGTTTGCGAAATCCGCCACAGGTGTTGTGGGAGTGTTGCTTAATGGTGGAGCTTACCAGCCAGGAAGGTGAGTTTATACTTCATATAAATGAGCCAAAGAGACATTCCCGTTCCTGACAACAGCACAAATGCTGATATGGCTTGCTATTGTTTTTTTAAAGAGCAGGTGATTATGTACAAGTGGCACGTCTCAAATTTGTGTTTAATTACTGAGTTACAGTGTGAAATATTGTATTACGGTGTTGCTAGTGTGACACATGAGTGCATAAAGTGTTTCCATGTTGTCAAACTGTAACAATGCAATAATCAGTTTGCAATAAGGTTCAAATCATTGTTGTTTAATTTCTGATAATCTCATGATGACAGTGGTTAAAATGGTTATGTTTACCGCATATAGAACAATTATTAAACAGCCATGTCCAAATAATCAGGTTAGCCAATGCCTTGATTTATCATCCTTAATAACTAGCACTGTCCGCGCATTTGTGTGTGATACACGGCCAGGGTGGAGGGTGGGTGGGGGGTAGGCGTGACGTCAGTTCGATGCACTAATCCAGCTCAACGCTGGGGGATGCGGGTGACATCATCGCCTTCCCGTGTGCCAGCCAGCAAAACTTTTTTTCTCATAATATGGCAGGAAGTTATTGAGTCACATTGTTGTGGCATCACTACAATTAACGTCACTTTAAATTGGCCTATATAACATTTCACGAAAGGATTGTGGATAACCATTCCATTTTAACAATTCATTGCTTTTTGCAACTTAGCTTTGAGCGGTATATAATCTGAACTCACCCTGTGAGCTCTGTATCATAATGATTTAACTACACTTCTCATATGGGTTGCCAGCTGGAATGATTTGACATTTAATAATTTATCCGAAGCCATATATGTTGTGGTACACAGTATTGACTAAAGAACCATCAACATTTCGTTTTACCATAATATCCAAAAAAGGCATTTCATTTTTCAACATGTGCCTAAACAATAGCGAGATACGTACTGTAACTAATCCTCAATCATCTAATACTGTAAAATTAAACAACTTGAACAGATGTGTTAAAATTATCTGTAAAGATAAATTAAATAAAACTTAAACATACTCTGCATGTTCAAGTGCTTTTCACATGAAAAGCTATGATAGCTACTAAATGTGGTTATTCACTTGATAGACAACATTCGTTTCCACTGTTAATGTGTTGTATATGGATAAATTGCAAGAAGCATTACAATGATAATAAGTTAATGTTTACATTTTTGTGTTGCAGTATTTTTTATGACAACGAGGTTCCGATTCTTCAATCTCCACGTGTGACTCATATGGACATCTGGGTTATCAATAACGAAAGGTATTTACTTAGTTACTTTTAATTACAATTCATATCGACCAAGGCCTTGTATGTAAATTATATATTTATTGGGAGCAATCCTAAACAAAGTTAGTCTCAATAAAAGTTGTCTGTCCTACACATTTGTCGTACAAACTACAAATTTGTTCTACAAAATACAAGGACAAACTAATTGTAGTTTGTTTACGACCATTACTACTGCAGGCATCAACTACGAGTCTCTTCAGGGGTTAAAGAGTGGTAGTGTGTGGTGAAAGCTTGAAAGAAGACATTTTCACAAGCAGCTCAATGCTGGATTTCAAGCTGCTGTGAAAAGTTCTTACATCCTATCAAAAGTTGACCAAAACAAGACACAATAGTTTCAAAGAAAGCACCTTTCACAGGACACTAACTTTCACATGCACTACAATCATTGTACTGAGTTGCTAAACTCGTGGATGAAAGCATTTTAAGAAAATAAAACTTCTCACCAAAATCAGGCTTGCTAGAGTGGGTATGGCGATTGATCTATTGGTGCACCAACAAACTTAACAGCTGGTACGATGTTGCCCAGTCGGAAGCAATATTGACGACGATGACCATTATGATGATGAAAACTGAAAATGTTCCGTGAATAGAAGTCCCCCGGTAGTGGTCTACACGAGTGATAAATTCATACTGTCATCTGCATGAAAGTTGGAGTAAGAGTAAGATTAACATTGGCAGCAAATACATCGTGTGTTCTTAGATGTTGTGACGATGCAATAGTTCGAACACTGGATTTGCAATACAGAGGTCAACGGTTAAATTCCATCTTCTGGTGGGGCAGTTGAAACAATAGGAGTTTCTTGAACCCCCCACCGTCTCTGCCCACCCAGTAGTGTGTGGTGGGATAAAGTGTGGGTACTCCCACCTATTCCAAGATGTTTGTCCAGTGTGGAAGAATTCGCCTAAATACCCTCTAGAGTAGCTCTGTAAAGCTTCCTCTGGTGTTGGTTCTTCCGCCAGTGGCATGACCTAGAAATGTTAACCTGCGCCTTTGTGTGCTTGCTGTAGATATTATCCAATTAAAATTTGACTGAAAGTGGTTCTGTCACTCATAATATAATCCATGCACAGGAATTGATAAGAGAAATTATCCATAAGTTGAAAATGTATCTTACTGTCTTCTTTGTGTGGGTAGCGGGGCTCATAGGATTTTTTTCTGTTTGCACCGGCCCCTATTGTTGCAAATAATTTTTGGTGTTTGTGTGAAAAAAAACACAACATTGGTAACCGTGTTTTAACCAGTATCCTAATCTACTGTGTGAACAATAAAGGCCTGGATGTTGTGTTCTGTAGTAATGAAGAGACATGCGACTCTGGAACTCAACGTGATCTGATTGATCATTTAAATCTAAAGGGTATAGGATCCACTTGCTATTCTAACAAGTAAGTGACTTCTCTTTATGCTCTGAATACACGGCCTACGCGGAGGGTGGGGGGGGCGTGACGCTGCCACATGCGGGTGACATCACAGATGTGACGTCACCGCTCACTTGCCGTGCAAAATATATCCATTATTGCGCCTCCTCCCCGCCCCCCAAAATACAAGTCTATTTTTTTTACTTTTTGCATTGTGTACAATCTGGAAGCTACCCACATGCCAAATTTAAAGTTTGTTGCATGTCGGTAAGTATGCTAAACATTTCGAACAGACACACATATTCACAAAATTCCCTTTTTTATATATATGAATATAAATACATCCACCAACCCCTACCTCCAGCACTGTAGAGGCAGGGGTTGATGGATCATACATATATCATGGAATGTCCTTCCTGTGGGTGTGAAGGCATTGTGTGTGATCGCGTAGGTGGTGAACACGATATCGACACGGTCAGAGAAACACATTTGGGCTCTTGACAGATAAATAAACAGCACTCCGTACTCATGGCGACATACGCATTTGTATTTTTCGGGACATCGTTGAGAACTGTTTAAGCTCTGTTTTGCTTTGGAGATCAGTACATTTTGAAAACTGTTATCTACGTCGGTGTTCAACTTGTCACCAATTACAAAAAAACTACTCTGCCTCACAAGAAATGTCCCCGAATGTGACAGATGATCGAAAAACAAGATTTTGGATTCATTTTAAAGTATCATGGCATAGGATATGACATCACCTTGTTTACGTAGGAAAACCACCATGCACATGGAGCAATGAGATCAGTTCATGTACAGGAGTGAGACAGATTGGGGCATTGCAACAGCATGAAGGGTGATGGAAAAAGTGAGACCATGCTTAATGAAGACATTGGAGTCTCACGTCCATCTATTAGAGCAGAACCTAAAGCGTGTTTTCCTTCATAATGCATGAATGCCACTCATTGTTGACATAGTTAAAGAAAAGCATGAATATTAGATTACGCTTATAAATATTCCAGTCGATACGTTTGATATTGGTTGTTAATTTTGTGCAATGAATAATGAAAAATGCTTTTTTTCTCTCCATTCCAGGACATCGCCTAACACAGAGTGCGTGTACTTCCCTAATGCACACGACTGTGAAATTACCTGCTCTGTATCAGGCTCGCTTATCTTTTCAACAACCTTATGACAGTTACCTAAATGAGTGTGGTGCTATTCATGGGTTATTCATAGAACACTTTGTGTAGGAGACATTTGTTAATTTTGTCTTGCATTCTGTATTTGTGTGGCTTTCTTTATTATATAATTATGTTACATTTATTTTTTGTTTGTTTATTTTTGCTTTTCAAACAGTGTCACGTCATGTCCAATAAATAATTGTTTCCCTCTTAAAGTGTCCACCCGAAACATTTACTATAATACCCCAGTTTATGTCAGGGAAGGCCTGGTGGTACATCACACCTGCTGACTGTGCTGCTGAGAGAGGCCAGGTGTGATATGAAAACATCACCACTAGGGAGACAAAGGCCTCAGCAGCCCCGTGTTGAAGCTAAATATAACTACATACTCTCCCGTGTAAAACTTAAACAAGGGAATGGTTCCTGCCATAACATGGAATTTATGAAAACTATAGAGATAAACGTCAAGAAACGTTGATCTTAATTAACCAAAGTGTGGTAAACATGCCAATGTATTTCTTACGAACAATTTTGGGGCTCCATGTCCGACTCGACCGTCGGGTTAATTCCTCGGTGGTGCGCCCACACACTGACGTGGATTTAACCCAATGCCAGATATTACACAGACACGACGCGAAATGCACTACAAACGATGCCAATATGCGGTGCGAGACGCGCGACAACCAGAACAAAGGCTCGGTACGAACGCGTGGCAGATCCCACCAACACTCAGTGAGAGACCGCCACAAATGCAGGTCGTTGTCGCCCGTTCCTGCGTGGGCCCTCGCTCGCTCCATTCCTCTCACTCGTGCCGCTGCGCTCACCACCCCGGGGTCACACTACGCGCGTCAATGCGTGAACTCAGGGCGTTATGTCGTGCCGCCCCCGACTATTCTCGCACACACTCGATCCACGACTTAGGGGCCGTCCATAAATAACGTCACGCACTTATGGGGGTGGGGGGGTCAGACCTTTGTGACGATGTGTGACGAGGGGGGAGGGGTTTGAGAAATGTGACGTCACATCGAAATGCGCAACTTTAAATAAATGTAGAATTGTTATAACAACACTAATTGTTATAACAACACTCCTACAACATCAGAGCGCAGCGCCACATTAAATACGCACTACAATGACAATAGTTTAAAGCGATTTTAAGCATATTTTATTTTCAAAATGGAAATATGGTTTTGGGGGGGGGGGGCAGAGCTTTATGACGTCATATTTGAGGGGGGGGGGTCTGACTTTTGTGACGCTGTGTGACAAGGGGGGGGGGGGGGGGTCAAAAATCGTCCAAAATCGCGTGACGTCATTTATGGACGGCCCCTTACACCAGGGGTCGGCAACCTATGGCTCCGGAGCCGCATGCGGCTCTTTACGGGCTGCTTCTTGACGATGAGTACGTATGTACTCAGATGCATTGCGGCTCTTGAAATACTGAATTTTGTACCGGATTGGAAAGAAATGGCTCTTCTTGTTATTTTGGTTGCCGACCCCTGCCTTACACCGAAACCGGTGACACCGCGCCGTCTTGATGATACCTTTATTTTAGGCGCAAACAAACCCTTGAAAGTAAGCAGTCTAGTCGCTACGACCCGAGGGTGTATTGCGAGAAAAGTCTTCTCTGACGCTGCCTACCCACCATGTCGCCCAAAGCGTCCTTCCCTCGTGCTGCGTCGCTGCAATCACCGGTGTCGCACGGACGCTGTGAGCGGCGAAGAGAGGGGGTAGTGTGCTGCTATAGACCGCCTAATGGTAAGGATGTTGAAGCTGGGACTGCACTGAGGGGGCCTCTTGGGGGCCTCCCTAAAGGTGAAGTAGTTTGTGGGTGATTTGAATTGGCTAAACCCACCTGCCGAATTTAACCTATTTAAATTAATAAATGTCCCCACAAGACCCAACCTAAAAAACTCAGGATAGTCATCTCTGCTTGACGTCCTGTTGACTAATGCCCCTCACAATTCCCCACTTACTGGTGTTCTGGGTAATAACCTTAGTGATCACTCCTTCATATTTGGGGTGAGATCATCAGCCAGAGCCAAAGCCCCCCCCCCCCCCCCCACTAAGATCGGTTGATAAGCATTCCATGAGACACTTCAGCATAAAGGCATTTACTAATGATGTGCTTCAAAATTTCGATTTAAAGCTTTCGTGACTGCAGGGATTCATCTTCTTGGTTCTTTCGGTAAAGTCACGTAGAAGGGAAGTAATAAAATAATAAAAATAAAACATAATAAAACAATTCTCACGACGTTTCGGCCACAACGCAAGCAGCCGTCCTCAGGTGAAAACCAGGTCCGTCGAGGCGACAGAGTCTGAATGAAACAGCACACGAGCTTGGAGCATATATATAAGCTGGGCGCATTGACAAAGGAATTTGCATATCAAAAGGAATTTAGCATATTTATGGGAAATGCAGGAATGTGATTAGTACTGCATATGCATGTGCATTATGCAGGATTAACAGCATCAAAGGGAGCTGCAGTTACTGCTGCTGCAGAAGTTGCTGCTGCTGCAGTTTCTGCTGCTGCTGCAGTTGCTGCTGCTGCTGCACTTGCTGCTGCTGCTGCACTTGCTGCTGCTGCTGCAGTTGCTGCCTTATCCATTTTAATATAACACTATGTATTATTCTACCAACCCTAATGTGTATCATACTGCTATATGTTTACTGTACAATAACGACACCATACATTACTCTGCACAATGCACCATGCCAGTGAGTGGAACGCGGTCTGAAAGTCACCGTAAACGTGAACACAATCAGTTAAGATCCGAAATGGTTTATTACGTCCTTCCAATGATTGCTAAGCCATCATTGGAAGGACGTAATAAACCATTTCGGATCTTAACTGATTGTGTTCACGTTTACGGTGACTTTCAGACCGCGTTCCACTCACTGGCATGGTGCAGTGTGCAGAGTAATGTATGGTGTCGTAATTGTACAGTAAACATATAGCAGTATGATACACATTAGGGTGGGTAGAATAATACATAGTGTTATATTAAAATGGATAAGGCAGCAACTGCAGCAGCAGCAGCAAGTGCAGCAGCAGCAGCAACTGCAGCAGCAGCAGCAACTGCAGCAGCAGCAACTGCAGCAGCAGCAGTAACTGCAGCTCCCTTTGATGCTGTTAATCCTGCATAATGCACATGCATATGCAGTACTAATCACATTCCTGCATTTCCCATAAATATGCTAAATTCCTTTTGATATGCAAATTCCTTTGTCAATGCGCCCAGCTTATATATATGCTCCAAGCTCGTGTGCTGTTTCATTCAGACTCTGTCGCCTCGACGGACCTGGTTTTCACCTGAGGACGGCTGCTTGCGTTGTGGCCGAAACGTCGTGAGAATTGTTTTATTATGTTTTATTTTTATTATTTTATTACTTCCCTTCTACGTGACTTTACCGAAAGAACCAAGAAGATGTGCTTCACTTTGATATTGACAAGGTCTACGATATCCCCAACCTGACTATGGCTTGGAAGACCTTTAGGTACACGTTTCTGCAAATTCTTGACAAACATGCTCCTTTGGTTAAATTACAAATTAAAGGCAACCGCCCACCATGGTTTGATCCTTTGATTAAAAAAATGTGTCACATTTTTCTAAGGACAAAATAATTCACTTCTTTAGCCTACCGGTGTGTTGAAGAGAGAATCAACTGCATTATAAAAATTTGAGTACGACGTTTCGCTGGCAATTACAATCAGCTTCATCGGGCAAGAATGGTGAAGCTCTCCTGTTGCTCCCGGTCTTAAATAGAGCAGCAGCAGGGTGACGTCATCATTTAAACCTTTGTCCAATTGAATCTGTTGATTAGCATTACTCTGATGTCATCTACATCATGGACTAAATTTTAGTTTTATGTTCATCGACTTGTTTTGCACGCAGTCAGCTTTTTTGCCTTCTAGTTGGCTATAATGTATGTTGAAATGTAGCTTGCAGGTGCACGCATGAGAAAAAGTTGAACGACTGCAAATGAGAGACATCACGTTGACTGTTGAGAAATCTAAGTGGCTTTGGGGGGGGGGGGGGCAGGCCTCGTCGCTATATGGGATGATGGCGGATGCATCGTAGACAACGGTGAAGGAATGGCAGCCAGAGGAGAGAACTCTCCTGGCAATATGAGCACCGCTGAGCCTGAGCGACGAGACCACCTTGTGCAGGAACGCGATTGGGATCGTTTACATTGCGAGGTCATCAGGGATTGGCAAGGACCCTGGAGATGCGTTTTTCCAGCAGTGGATAGAGCCTGGCTGACGATAATGGAAAACAATATCTGGGTTACATATTTTATATCGGCCAACCCACACGGTTTACCCGTATTTTTGTACGGGCAAATTGAGTGAATAAAAATGTCGATTTGTTTGTGTTTCTTCCTTGTGATGGGACTTTGGAGGATGAACGTTTGAGATTTATAAGGGCACGGGGTGACCAATAATGTCTGAATTGGTCTGTAGTAAGGTAGGTGCTGATAAGGTGCATGATCTATTTTATGGCAATGCATCATGACAGTAGTTGCTGAGCAAAAATAATATTTTTTTGGTGCATCTTGTTGTTTGCTTTCAGTTTGCACAGTCCGTCTCAGGTACTGTAAGGGTGAGGCTTAAAGGTGGATATTACAAAAAGGAAAGGTGAGTTTTTGCTTTCGATAAATGAGGCCAAAGTAATATTGAACCCTCCTGACAAATAGCACAAGCGCTCATATGGCTTGATATTATTTTTTTTGGTGAAAAACAGAGCAGGCGATTGTGTACAGGTGTCGTGTCCGATGATATGTTTAAAAAAATGGCAACTGACGGTGAACAGTAGCATAATATAGCCGGGTAGCCCGTTAAAAGTGTAAACGTAATGTAAAAAAAAGCTAGCTTTAAATGCACACATTACAGCACAATTAAAATACCACTCTGGATTCATCTTCTTGGTTCTTTCGGTAAAGTCACGCAGAAGTAAAATAATAAAAATAAAACATAATAAAATAATTATCACGACGTTTCGGCCACAACGCAAGCAGCCGTCTTCAGGTGGAGAACAGGTCTGTCGAGAAGGCAGTCAGACTCCACCTGAAGACGGCTGCTTGCGTTGTGGCCGAAACGTCGTGAGAATTATTTTATTATGTTTTATTTTTATTATTTTACTTCTGCGTGACTTTACCGAAAGAACCAAGAAGATGAATCCCTGCAGTCACGAAAGCTTTAAATCGAAATACCACTCTGGAGTTAAGAGTAATGTAGGCTACATTTATTGGGACTGCGCCAAATTTGTACGGGACAACGCCTGGCAGATGTATTTACCCTTTAGAGCTCCCTCTAGTGGAGGCGCCCTGAGAACGATTGTTTAAGGGCGCTTTCTATATTCTGATTAAAATTATTGGCGTTTGCAAACAATTGCAGGGCTGCCACCTTTTATATTTTAAATGAGAAATTAGGGCAAATAATAAACCACGCGGTGGCTCAGGCCCGCGACTGGTGCCGTGATAATGGTTGAAATGTTACACTGCTATGGATTACCTGACTTTTGTAAGATCTCCAGTTTTCCTCTTGTTGTGTAACAACCATAGTACAGTATACACCATAAACATGGAACGTCTAGGAGAGAAAAATAGGTGTGCGTATAACATTTGCCGAGAAGATGGGTACAAACGGAGCAATCATTGGAAGGACGTTATTAACCAGTTTTAGTCATAACTGGCTGTGATGTTTCCATCCTACCTTCCAATGTTAGCAGTTTTTTTCGACTCTCTGAATTTACATTATCAGGTTAAATGTCTCACACTAACACAGCCGCCGTTGCTCATGTCCTCGATGTGGCGGCGGCGCTGCGATCTTACATTGACATGCTAATCTCTCATAATACAATGGCCACCTCCGTGCCCTCGTCATGGAGGTAGCTCTCCGATCTTACATTGACAAGCAAATTTCTCATTTTAACATCACTAGCCCCGGCCACTTCGTTTATGACCCTTGGGCTACACCCATTTCAAACCTTTAAAACTGCCTGCCTCAGCAGCTTACCCCCTCTTTTTTTCCTGATGACGATTGCTTGTGTTGCGATCGAAATGTCGTGTTATTTTTATTATTTTTGATTAACTTTATTTTATTTTTTATTTTTATAATTGTATTGTTATCATTTTTTCTATCTACGTGACTTTACCGAAAGACCCAAAGAAAATGTTAATGTTGTATCTGGCTCAATGGCATTTCCTTGCTTCAAGGATAATTATAAATTATTGTTAAAATGTCGTTGTTTTTTTGTTTTTACAGCAGTATTTTTCGAAAATACGAGCTTCCACAATTTAAATCAAGCGTGACTTACGTTCATATCTACGTTGTTAAAAACGAAAGGTATTTATTTACGCCTTTACAATTTCTACCAACTAATGGGTTGTGGGTTTAGCTTTTATTGAGCCAACTCAGCAGCAAGAATGGGTACACCAACCGATTGGCAGGTCGTGTGTGCTGGGGGTAAAAAGTGGATATTACCGTCACTTCAAATATATTGCTTGGAATAGGCGAAAATACCCTCTAGAGGGAATCTGTACATAATAGTAATCATCCACAGCTTTGATAATGGAAGTAATCTGGAAGTAGAAAATTCCTCCTATTATCTGCATTCACCCACGCTTCTTTGTGTGGGTACGAGGAGAAAGATGCGTGGATAAAGGGGACGAATATGATTCTCTGATTGTATCGCCCTTCATCAGTAGACTTTGAGAGGTTCCATTCTAAAGCATTTTTGGCTTGTGTGTGTGTAAAACCCCCGTAACATTGGTAACCCTCGATTTAAAGCTTTCGTGACTGCATGGATTAATATTCTTAGTTCTTTCGGTAAAGTCACATAGAAGGGAAATAATAAAATAATAACAAATACATTTTATTGCTTTATTTGTATTATCTTATTATTTCCCTTCTACGTGACTTTACCGAAAAAACCAAGAATATTGGTAACCCTGTTTTATCCAGTATATCCTAAACTACTAGTGACCCAATGCAATGGATACAATTGTTAATAGTAAATGCATAGTTTGTGAACAATGAAGGCCTGCATGTTGTGTACTGTAGTATCAAGGAGACATGCAATTCTGGAGCTCAACTTCAGCTGTTTGAAGATTTAAAGAATATGGATGTACCTTACATTTGCTATGATGACATGTAAGTGACCCCTCTTCATCCTCTGAAAATATTTTAATTCACGTATTGCTGCATTAATAAACCATCAAGGCATGTGCCAGTGAGCAGTAGCCACATCTCTTTGTGTCTGTGGTGCCATTGGCCAACTGGAGGCAAATCTACTGTGGTGTAACAGCATATCGACGTGAGTTTAACACGTAGGCGTTCGCGACCAATATTCATAATAAAGGTTTTTGGATTAGATCGCTTAAGTATAAATGTGTCGAAACCCTCCACCAGGGATTTGTCCCTTACTGATTGACCCGATGATGCTGGATGTAATTACCAGCGAAACGTCATACTCAAATTGTAAATGTTGCGGATTCACTCTTCAACACACCGGTGGGCTGAAGTAGTAACTCATTGTCTTTTTGTTTACGTGACAAATCCCTTACTGATTGGCCTTGTCGGGTGGTGGAGGGTTTCGACACATTTATACTTGGTTGAACCTGCATTTAGCACCTATAGAAGGGAATTTCATTCAGTGGGAACTGAAGCATTCTTCTTGTTTCTTTCGGTAAAGTCACGTAGAAGGGAAGTAATAAAATAATAAAAATAAAACATAATAAAACAATTCTCACGACGTTTCGGCTACAACGCAAGCAGCCGTCTTCAGGTGAAGAATGAGACACTACCAAACTAGGAGCTTATATATAAGCTGCATTGGGGGTTGAAGAGCGCCTTAACAAAAAGAATGTGCATGTGAAGAGGGATTTAGCATATTCATGGAAAATGCGTAGGCGTTGGGCGGGGGGGTGTCAAAGTCATATTATGCCCATGCATTATGCAGGATCAGCAGCAACCAAGGGGGGTGCAGGGATTAGCAGTAACAAAGGAAAGGAATGTTAATGATATGTAGCTGCAGTTACTCAACAACCACGTAGAAAACTAAAGTATAAACTACATAAAAAACTAAAGTATAAACTGCATCGCACCATCAGTATACTTACTATACTCTATAATAAGCTGAGTTACTAACAGCAAGTAATACATTACAATTTTACCTCGTAAAAATTCTATAATATGCTTCCATCTAAACCTTATTCTCTTACATCACACGAGCATATACCGTACTATATACTGCCATAGATAAACCCAACATTAAATTATATACTGTATTGCTGTAAACCAACCTATATCTTATACATTTAATATCACACTATGTATTATTCTACACACCCTAATGTGTATCGAAAGGACGTAATAAACCATTTCGATACACATTAGGGTGTGTAGAATAATACATAGTGTGATATTAAATGTATAAGATATAGGTTGGTTTACAGCAATACAGTATATAATTTAATGTTGGGTTTATCTATGGCAGTATATAGTACGGTATATGCTCGTGTGATGTAAGAGAATAAGGTTTAGATGGAAGCATATTATAGAATTTTTACGAGGTAAAATTGTAATGTATTACTTGCTGTTAGTAACTCAGCTTATTATAGAGTATAGTAAGTATACTGATGGTGCGATGCAGTTTATACTTTAGTTTTTTATGTAGTTTATACTTTAGTTTTCTACGTGGTTGTTGAGTAACTGCAGCTACATATCATTAACATTCCTTTCCTTTGTTACTGCTAATCCCTGCACCCCCCTTGGTTGCTGCTGATCCTGCATAATGCATGGGCATAATATGACTTTGACACCCCCCCGCCCAACGCCTACGCATTTTCCATGAATATGCTAAATCCCTCTTCACATGCACATTCTTTTTGTTAAGGCGCTCTTCAACCCCCAATGCAGCTTATATATAAGCTCCTAGTTTGGTAGTGTCTCATTCTTCACCTGAAGACGGCTGCTTGCGTTGTAGCCGAAACGTCGTGAGAATTGTTTTATTATGTTTTATTTTTATTATTTTATTACTTCCCTTCTACGTGACTTTACCGAAAGAAACAAGAAGATGAATCCCTGCAGTCACGAAAGCTTTAAATCGAAATTTAACTGAAGCATTATTCAAGTCATTGGAAACCAAGGTCTTAATACAAATGATCAAATCTATGTAGAAGGGATTGCTATGTTCAGATTTCCAATACTATCCAAAGTAATTGAAGATATTTTCCAAAAATTGGAATGCAAAAATAAAGGCCTAAACATAGTTGGAGAAAGTATGAGCCATCTCAGACTTGTGGTTGACAGTCTTCATGAACAGCTTTGAATAGATATGCAGGAAATGATTAAAGAGCTTCATAGAAGGCCTCAAAGTTGGACTCAAAATAAATACGAGCAAAACAAAGGTCAAAAACACCTTTTACTAATTAACATTGTTGTTGGAAGGACACTCATAGAAAAGGTAGAGATGTGTTCTTAATCTTTACTTCTATTAATCCAGTATTAACTGGCATTTAGGCGACCTCACTTTAAGATACATTAAATAAATAGATAGTCCTCGACTTACGATGGGGTTGTCGTAACGCATATCCATCGTAAGTCGGGGACTACCTCGACAATGAAAACCATCTGAAAAATAAATAAATCTGAATTTCTCCTTATTGAACCGAATATCTTGAATCTGAAATATTTTAATATGAAATCCATCCCTTGTCCACATATAAGTACGGTACCTCTCGTAATTATTAAAATCGGTCCTAAAAAATGGAATCGGGAGGCAAATAATGGAGTTATATTAAAACAAATACTTTCATGAAAAGCAACACATGAATTTAACTATATTTGAAAGATTGCAGTCAGTGTATATTGGCAGTTATGATGTATTGATTATAAACATGGAGTCTAATAATTAAAATAGAACAAAAGCATAAAGAAGAGATGCATGCTTGGAATTACACTTGTTAACAGAAAGAGGAACACGTAACTTAATGAACATGCACATTTGAGACATTGACTGTTTAAAGTGTAAGTGGGCTTAGGCAGGACATCAAGGATGATTGAGGCTGGCAATGGAATTGCAGCCTAAGGACAGAACGTTCTCAAAAAGAAAGCTACCGCCGAGATCCTGAAATAAGATCAGTTCATGCGCAGGAATGCGACAGTGTTGCACTGCAACACAGTGAAGGATGATGGCAAAAGTGAGAACGGTTAATGAGCAGTACCTGATGCATCGTGTTTCTTCGTAATGAATGAATGCCACTTATGGTTGTATCGGGTGTTTAATATTCCAATATGTACGTTTGATAATTTTTTTTTTATTTACCCATTGACTAATCATGTTTTTTTTCTTCTCCAATCTAGAACAACAAACTGCGCGTACTTCCTCGATGAAAACTGCGATACTATCTGCCCTTCAAACAGCGTTGCTTTTCTCTGCAACAACCCTCTGACATTTTTCCTTTTGGGTCTTGTGCTGTACAATGCATGGTAATCCAGAGGGTGCAGCAGTGGCGAGATGCCAAGTCCCATGTCTGGTATAGATAGAGATCGTGGGTTCGATCCCGACCCTTATGCTTGTATATTTAGAGTTTGCACGTTTTCCCCGTGGTCGCGTGGATATTTATCCAGGTCCTCTGGTTTTTCCCTATACATTTAGAAATGTGCGTTTAGAGTATTTAGCTGCTAAAAATGCCCACATGATAAGCCGCTTCATTAGGCTATCATTTGTGGCCAGGTCGCTTCTGAAAAAGAGCTATATGGCTCGGTGGGTCATATCTAATAAAATGAAAACTTTAGTTTAGCATTGGTTATAATAATTTTTCTCGCTTTTTGGGACACTTTTTAATGAGCCCATGATTGGAGCTGGCTTTTAAATGAGTTGCTTAAAAATGTATAATTAATATGCCTTTCATAAAATCTCTTCATTAGTAGATGTACACTACTAATACATGCAACTTGCCTCCTGATGCATTATTTTTAGATGTTACATCTTGATTCCAATATTATTTTGCCTATTGACATTTAATTATAAATCATGAATCAGGAAATTAATTGGTAAATTGGATACAAGAGGTTCAATCCGAGATTTTATAACTTTTATACTGTATGGTTGGTTACCACACAAAGTTTCCCACAATGATCTAATACTGTATATGGAGCCTGCTAAGATACATATTAATGATGTTTTATAAGCTAGGTATTGCAGGATTACAATATGGTCGAGCGTATGGCTATAAACCATTAAAATAAAAATGTCACCTCCTTGGTTGATTTGAGTCACAGAAAGGGTCAGCCTGAAGTTCTAAATGTATTCAAACTTTGCAATAAACATGGAAAATTATGATCTACATCATCGGTGAATCAATTATATCAATAAACATTCGGGATATACTTTATGTCCCATAACAGTCTTCTGGATTTATATGTTGCACCTATGGAGCTATAAGTATCTTTTGCTATTTGCCATTAAAATAAAACCGGCTTTCTCCTTATTTTCTACAAGGCCCTATCTCAAACAGGAAATAGTAGGCAATGCATACACTATAATCTGACCAAAATCTTGGGTAAATCTGTCAGGCGAATATCCTCTGAAGATGAACTTGGTGATCAATTGGCTTCTTTAATGGAATCACACTCGGAGAAAGACTAAAAGATAGATTGCGGTTCCCAAACTCTGACAGATTGTGTACCACTAATTTTAAACGACACTTTGAGTACCACCAGCAAATGTATCCACAATGGAAACAGACTATGTATTAAAACAACATTAAAACTATTAGTGTTCATAACACATATCTTTGATAAATTATGGTAGCCATATAAAACCGTTATAAATTGCAAAAAGATATTACAAACATACTCCTCCAGAGATCCATTTGGCGTTTTAGGGATGTCCTTCATGGGATGGGTGATATTTCTTGACAGAGCAGTTGTCAGATGTCTGGTGAATTCTTGGTTGATTTCAGCCAAAGGTCCGATTCTGCATTGAGCTTCCCGCTTTTGTTTTTAATCGCAATCGTGTGGCGAGATGCTAAACTAACAATTCTGAAACTCATCTCAAACTTACTTTTCAGTTCTTCTTCTCTTCTTATTTAGTGCTGCCTAACGGCGTGTGCGACTTCACGATATTGGTCCCGGTCTAGCACGGCGTGTAGAGTTTGTGCTGTTGTTAATTGTAGCCATGTTTTGATGTTACTGAGCCATGTCGTTTTGGCCGTCCTGGTCGTTTTTTCCCTTCGATTTTTCCTTCCAGGATTTGCTTTAATATCTGGTATTTGTGGTCGTTAAGGGTGGTCAAATATCACATCAAAAGTACTTTCCTTGGTGTGTGTTTAAAATCACAGGACAGTGAATGGTTGTATTTTACAAAGTAATGAACATGTTGCTCAAAACCTCAATTTATTATATTTTAAGAAAGGTTTACAACGTGCAAAACAATGATACGGCCACGAATAATATATTTTCAGTTGGCATTGTCAAAGCAAAATTCAGCAGTGTGAAGCAGAGTTATAAATTCATAACATTTAGGACATCTCAATGCTGCATTCTCAAATGTCACATCATTTGAGAGGAATTTCTCTTTACGGTTTCACCAAAGCTGTCTTACCCTTAGCATCAGCCGAGTAGACCTGCTAGGCAGAAGCAATACATTTTCCGAATTCACACACATTAAAAAATATTTTGATCTAAGTGCCATTTGATGTTGCTCACACTTGAAACAGAATCTGTGATTAATTACGTAAAGGTCTGTAAGCTACCAGACTCATGGTCAGTAAAAAAAGGCTGATAAACTGTATAACCAAGTAAATGAATGCAGTCATAAACACATGAAAATTTTACATTTGTTACTGTTACAGTATTAGTTGCATGAATCGCCATTACATGTTTGTTTTGTGAATACATTATTATTCGATTACATTTAACAGTAATATGTTGCGTAAGAAAGAGTGTTGTCAACAGACATGTGTAAATTGTTCCAGAAGTCACGCTGGACATGTCGCGAGTGCATAATTTTCCTAAATAAGTTGAATTTAAACGTGATGTGTGTGTGTGAATACCACGACGGGCGTAAGAGACGTATCGTATAATTCAGCATGGCAACACATTGCATATTATCACTTGCAGGAACGCTGTGTACCTGTCATGATGGCGAGACGCCGCCACATGTTTATTAAGAAACATCCTTGGCGAATCATATGTATTTGCATATTAGTACATTGTGCGTAGAAACACAGTATAGCATTGGGAGATTTACTTCTGTTCATAGCAGTCCAGGAGAATTCGATTTATATATAAGACCTGAGACAATGTGGCACTGCGCCACTTAGTAAGTGATGGTCCACTGCCTGACGGTGGCATCATGGGAGGTGGTGACCAGGGTGTGGGTGTCTAGCCACGCTATTCCGCTCACGTGATGCATTCGGTGTGAATCTGCAGGGAACATAGGAAAACACATCAACATTCGATGAAGGTAAAAGGTGCAGCCCTTGCAATCGCTTGCCCTGCTACAGGGTGCTCTAGAGAGCTTTTACAGAGGGTATTTTCACCCTCCTCTTCCATGCTGGATAGACGTGGGGGTACTCACACTTTACCCAACTGCACGCAAACCTGCCGATCGACTGGTGAACCCGTGGACAGAGGCGGGGGGGGGTTATCAAGCTTGATAATCTTCTTGGTTCTTTCGGTAAAGTCACGTAGAAAGGCAGTAATAAAATAATCCCTTCTACGTGACTTTACCGAAAGAACCAAGAAGATGAATCCCTGCAGTCACGAAAGCTTTAAATGGAAATTTAAACTTGATAATTTTATCAAATGTCATGCTAGGGCATCGAGTCTAGTGTGCCGACCATTCCACTATGGCAGCATCCATAATAACATTCAATGAGAACAGGATTACAGTATTCACATCCAGGCTGTTGTAGTTTCAAATTCTAGTCACGGGTCAACCCTCCTTATCATTCTTGCAGAGCTGAGTACCAGTTTTTTGGGAAGTCAACATTGGTCATTATAAAGAAAAGTGTCCCTGCCATAGGAACGTGTAATTTCTACCACTGGCTTATGCCCATGCATTGAGATAATCGCCTATACACAATAGAGACAAATCTCCAGGACAATGTATCAGTATTCTGCAGATACGAATCTTGTCCATTGAATTATGTCACGTGTAAATGTATCATTTAATCTGTATCAAAAAGTACAATGAAATTGATAACCTAGTGTATTTTAAAGTTATTTTCTGGTGCTGGAAAATGTGAATTTCAGTGTGAGTGTGATAACTCAGGGAAATGCTTTATTCGAGTCCTGGAAAAATGTGAATTTCAGTGTGAGTGCGATAACTCAGGGAAATGCTTTATTCGAGTCTTGGAGAAATGTATAAAACTTGAGAGTTCTGGGATCTATGGGAGTGTGCGCGTGCAGCAGGATGAAGAGGCCCACCTGGAATCCTGATGCGATTGTTTGGGTCTTCCACTGTCCACACGTAGACCATCATATCCATGCCCCCCGTGGCAAAGTGCTGGCAGTCAGGAGACCAGGCCAAACAGGTCACCTTGGCGTGGTGCCCGTAAAATGTGCCGTGCTCCTTAAAGGGAGATAGCAGGAGGGAAAGGGCAGAAGGACGCAGAAAAGTTTCACGCCATGGCACAATATTATGTGCAGTTATGGATGTTTCCACCACCATCTACATGACTACATGCACCAACAACAGTGCCACTTAGAATAGTCCCGTTTATTGATGATCCAGCACTCACTATTTCACTCCAGTGACTCGCTTACCAGCGTCCAGTCTCCTCTTTATCACTCTGCTTTTGCTACTACTCTGTTCCCGTAAACTTCACTCACTGATTTATTCAACTATGTTGACTCGTTCTACCAGACTAGTTTTGTTTTTATCCATACTGTGTTCAGCCAACATACTGCGGTCATATGGGTGGAGTGGTGGCATTGGTTAATGCACTGTACTCTGAACCTAGCCATGGTAAGTGGCTAGTGATGTCTGATCTGAACCAGTCCTGGCTCCACACCAAACCCCTTCACCACCCCACACTGAGCAACGTGAAGTATGTTCAAACAACCACAATGACGATATGGCATGGGGAGCCCTTCATTTAAGAGATGAGGGTTCCTTGAGCAGGCTGATAACCAGCAGTGATCATGACTGATGTACGTATGTTGAACGTCTTCTGCACCATACGTAACCAACTGTGCCAATCGGAAATGCGATTAGCACGGTGATAAATTAAATGTGCTGATGATAAATAAGATGCACTCTAGCACATAGGAATGAACGGTCAATCACGCACCAAAACTGGTAGAGTGCCATTGTGGTTTTTGTCCCATTGTAGAGCCTCTCACCTTGTAGTCATCAACTGTGTTGAAGACACTGACAACTTTGTTACTGTCACACACAGCCAGGAAAGCGCCGTTCGGAGAGAAAGCCAGGTCAGTGACGGGGCCGTGTGCCTGCAGCGCCGACACGGTTGCATGCTTCTTCAAGGTGTTTCCATCGATATCGTACATGTGCACCTTTCCATCCTTCAGTGAGTGGCACACAGCACAAACGATCGGAATGTAAACATTACGGTTGAACTGCGATGTGTTTGCACAGAGTGTAACTCTGTGATTGGAACCAGGTTTCTCATTTGCAAGTGAGTTAATGGTTTCAGCCTGGTCACCCATGACTGCACGCAAAAACATCAATCGTGTGATTTCACTTCAATGTGGCAATAAAATAATTTGATAATACATTACGCCTATGCACTGCTCTCTGGTCAGCATTACAGCTTAATTTAATAACATGCTGCATAATGCCATGACATACATGCAAAATGTTGTGGCATTATGCACGTATAAAGTCATGGCATTCCACATGCGTACTTCATACTGTATTTAGTGATATAATAATCAGCTTTTCCCCTTTTTTTGGCAACAAAACAGGTGTTAAGATGTAAAAACACCAAACTGAAACCTTTTGCAAGGAATCATGTCTGCATTAACACAAATGCTTGTAGTCAGAATGCAAACAAAAAACATACCCTGATAATATATGCATTGTCCTTAAAACTGATTGGTCCACACCAGAGACAGCTATTTTTTGAGCCTCGTCTCAAACGGTGTTATACCAGAGGACGCCAAAAGGCCTACGTCTTTGATGCACTGTGCAGACATGATTCCTTGTAAAAGGTTTCAGTTTGGTTTGGTGTTTTAAAATCTTAACACTTGTTTTGTTGCCAGAAAAAAGAGGAAAAACCTATTATTACATTTTAGTACTGGCAAAAGAGGTCCCATGATGCATTTAGTGATGGTCACAATTGTTATTCCTAGAATATATTCACGTTATCAAGAACTGGCTTGGCAACTATAAGGCATGCTCAATCACAATAACACGAATGGCACTTGTTCCTATCGGAATACCATTGCACACACAGCTTCGAGCAGAGTTTAAATATACTTACTACACCCCCGACTGCAACAATGCCATTGCTTGGGTGGATGGACACAGCTTCAGGGCCGAATCCAGGAGCCTCTATCACAAATGCTTTCTTGCGATCCTTCAGCAGCAAGATCTGGCAGAGATTAGGTAGCAGTGTTAATTGGAGTCACACTTTTTTAAAATCTGCTTTTGTAGATTTTCCCAAGGATATTGTCAGCACACCCGGTGGTACACCTACTTGTCTGAACAGCTGTATTGTTTTTAGAAAATACACCTGTCTGGGATCTGGAGAAGCACACGTGGCTTGTTTGATGCACTTGTATACACTGCCTTGTGTACATGTACAAGCCAAGTATTTATTCCTGCTGTTTAAGTACTTGCGGTTTGAATGAAAACAGAATGTGTGTTTGTGTGTGCACATGGCCTGGTATGAACCCAGCCTGCAATTACACCAGCTGAACTGCACTTTGGTTGATGGACACTTCAGCAACAACGTGACAGAACAGTATTGCAATTTATAGTGGCATGCCGTTTCAAATATTGCCTTTGAGATTAAGTACACATTAGCCACAGCTTGAGTGTTTTGTACTTTTATCAATGCCTCATTACCAAAGTACACATTCATATGGATTGAAATTCAAGTTATTCCAGCATAATGATTTACAATTGTTATCTCACGTCTGATGGAACTGTTTTTCGATAACTAAGAGATACACATGCAGCCATTGCACACACACTAATGTCTTAAATCGATCTCAAAGCATTTTCAGCTCTCTGACCCTGCTGAGCACACATCCAGAATTGTTTATTAGAAAATGGAGGGAATGGTTTTCTTGAAGCCCACATTAAAAATCCTTTACCTTAAAACCTCTTAAGCTTGAAGAGTGGTAATGAACATTTGACAATGATGAAATTCAAGCTCAGTGAAGCACAGTGAAGGACACAGTGCATTGCTCCACATTGTGATTCAACAAGACTGAACACATTAAGCTCCTTTGTTTCATACTGAAACACACTGATCCGAAACTACATGTGTGATGTGTGTATGCATAGTCGTGGAGCTTATGAACATTTCCAAGGTGTGTTTGTAAATGCAATCATGTGTAAATCTAAGCGTTTGCACATAACTGATGTCTCAACATTTCTGCCACGCGGTTCTATAGACGAGTGTGTGGATACCTCGTGTTGTATCTAACAATGGCAGTGGAAAATTTTACAAACCTGCCCAATGCAGATAACCACAGTGCAGCCACCAGGACCCACTGCAACTGACTTTGGCTGCTCATTCAGCTTCAGTGTATCTTGTGCGCTGTTGGAGGAATAACATAACATATGCAAACACGGAAGCATTTTTTCTCAAAACATGTTTTCTTCGGGTTTCGTAGTATGTTGTATGGAAAGATGCCTGAAGTTTCAGTCAACGTAATGCTGGGAGCTTCAGTTCAGTTTCTGATGTTCAATTCCTGAAGAAGATCTCAGCTAATGGAGCGAAATATGAGACATTGTGCCGAATTACACGAGATACAACCATAAATCACATTCTAGAAATATACAGCGTGACGAATTAAACTTATGCAGCGGAATTAAATAGTAAGTGTTTGGGTTTGTCTAGGAAAGCCTGAGTCTCAGAAAGGTGCTGTTTTGAGATATTTCATCAATTATTTTTCTGAGTAATTTTCTGAGGGGAAAGAAACTTACGTAACCATTTAAATGTCACAGCTAAGAGAAAGACATTCGTTTTTAACCTCAATGTTGATCCAAAAAATATACAGGCAAGCAGTGTCAGATCCAGGGGTGGGGAGGTATAGGGGCAATCGCACTCCCTTGAGACCCTGGAAATTGGTATTTTATTGATATTTATCAGAAAAAATGCACTGAATATATATTAAAAATAGTATTAATGTTGGGCCTTATTTTAAAAGCTTAAAATTTCAGGAATGCATTTTGCCTTTGGGAAGCTTCTAGATAAGCCTCTGACCATAGTTCACCTTACATTGTTTACCATGTAATAGTTATATTTTCTGTATTTATCCTACGTAATAACAGCGATTTTTTCATATCAATGGCAAAAACCCTGATATACACTTTTACAACATTTGCATGCACATATATACTTTGTTGTCACAAAATTATAAACACGTACACATATATTATATACCCTCGTAGCTAATTTTGAAATGTATAATATTGGCAATAAACATTGAAATTGACACATTAACCAAATCTTTAAAATCACACACTGCAGGGTTTTAATATGAACTTCCACTTTGCAACATGTAATTTTAATGCCTTGTAAATGTCAAGCTAGCTTCAAGAAATGTGTATCGTACAATACTATAATTTAGTACCATTGTCATGTCAAGCCATTGTTTTAGCACAAGACTCTCACAAAGGCGTTACGTTTCACATGCTTAGCAGAAGTCTGCTAGGAGCGTGCGATGTTGTTGAGTATTTTTTTGCAATTTGGACCTCGACACCGGCAAGCAGTACTTCTTTCCAACAAAATGTCATGGGGATCTTTAGTGTCAACTATGAAGCTGATGGCTCATATTTACGGTTAATACACCCGCAGTATTAACCAGGGTGGCCGCGGAGCTTGAATTGAAAACTTCTGCAAGAAGCGGCAAACCCTACAATGGCTTGGCAATGTCACTGCTCAAATTGTATACAATTAATGAAGGGTGGCAGGTAATGAAGCGGCTGACTGCTTTCAAACTGGCTTATTGGTGACGATGCTGATGGGCTAGCTGGCCGTATTGACTCACCTGTATTCCTTCGAGTCGAGGCTTGTGAATCGCAGCGTGTCATCCATTGAGCAGCTGACGAGCGAGTTTGATTCATCTACGGCCATGTGGGACACTTGGTTGGTGTGGCCTTTCCCCGCAAAGCCGTCATTAATTCCACTCTCCGCATCCCAGTGATGTGAACCCACGCCAATGCACAGTTAAAGGAACAGATCTCTACAGGTATACATATCTAGCTCGAGTTAGAGATCAATTACAACAAGACTAATATGAGGCTGAAGTGTCTTTGAGATCAAATAAGCATTGAGCAAAACTAAGTGGTCCTGAAACAGTGGTGAAAATACCACATTCTCATGATGGGAGCCAGTCTTTCCTCCACGGGTATAGATAAAATTGCAAGTGTAAAAAGACACTATTAAACTATTTTTTATTTTACCAGGTAAGGCCCACTGAGATATATAGCTCTTTTTCCAAAGTAACCTGGCCACAACTGATAGCCCAATGAAGTGGCTTATAATGTGGAAATATATAGGATCAAAATACTCCAAAAAGCACGTTTCTAAACATGGAGAGAAAAACCGGAAGAGCCTGGGAAAAATCCACGTGACCACAGGGAGAACACGCAAACTGCAAGTATACAGGAGTCAGGGTCGGGATCAAACCCACAACCTACTATATACGAGCCAAAGTAGTTAACATCTTGCCACCGCAGCACCCAGGTGCAACTCTACTATTGCTTGCTCACACCACCACTGGCGAAAGGGGCTTCCACTAGACGGTGTTCTAGAGAGCCCCTCTTGAGGGTGATTGCCCTCATCTTCCACACTGGACAGACATCTTGGAAGATGCGGCAGTACTCACTCTTGACTCCAATAATATAACACAGTCAAAGAATTACTGTCTTCATGCTGCAATGAGCATTGCGCTGTACTCATCTTTGTTGGCCACCTTGAGTCAGTGGTGAAGAGTTCACATTGCTACAGCATTGATCTCTTCAGAGGGCAATGATGGTTGACTGATTACCAGCGAGGTGCTCAATTTATTGACCAGATATGATAATGGGCTGAGCTCATTAAGGTTTTATTTTTATTTTATGTAAATACTTGTTATATTGTATTAATAAAGATATATTAATGCTGTGTTTCCACAACCACTGATGATGAGGGCTAAGCAGCTCAAGAATAGCTCAGGGCTGCTCCACTACAACTCGGTTCTTAAATTCCAACAACCAAACCGTCGTTCTGCGGCCTCATCACCCCTTGCGAGACGTTTGCCCAGTGTGGAAGAGTAGACCAAATACCTTCTTGGGAAGCTCTCTAAAGTTCCCTCTAGTGGAGCCCTTTCTTCCACCAGTGATGTGAGCAAGCAATTGCAGGGCTGCACCTTTACCCTTACCCATTTTACTTTCAAAAGTTTTTCTTCCTGGTTCTCTTATTTTGTATTTGAAAAGCAAAGGGTGTTTTTTTCATAGACCAACGATCATACGTGTCAACCCCAAAGGGTTCAATATCAGTGAGATCCCTACCCAAGACGTTGGGAAAACCCCAGGAAACTGAGGCAAAAAAACAAATAAACTTAGAGAAAACCTAAACCTGTGGTTCTTAACCTGAGGTGCACGCACCCCCTAGGGGTATGAGGCACGGCCAGATTTTTGTTAGATGGTAAATTATCGAAACACAAATTAAGCACGGGCATGTAGGTACAACTACTTTGTTTCATCAAACCTATGTATTTATTAACATTATACATGTTTTAACGATTCAGAACCGAAGGCTGCATTAAAGGTTAAGAACCACTGACCTAAACTGATATGGAAACCCAAGAAATTTAATGGACAGACCCATTTAACTGTCATGCAGACAGGAACGAGGCCACGTTGGAGAAAGGGTTGGAGGGGGGGGGTACAAATCCGTTTGCGTAGCAGCAATAAGCCTATGTACACCCCACATAATGAACACCCCTCCAACCCCCATAGAAAATGATATCATCAAACTAACATTGGACAGTTATTAGATTCTGGCTGTTTTCTCACAGAAAGGGTGTGTGTAAAGACAACACTTTTGGAACCGACTGCTTACATAAGACCTGAAGCATCAGCCGCTGTCAGTTGACTGCAATAAATAAATAGGGCCGCGTGAGTTATTTTAAGGTAAATAACAAAAAAAAAACCCCATGAGAATCCATTGCACGACCATGAGACACTCAACATTCCAAAAAAAAGTGAGTCTCATGGCTAACACTTGAGATTTCACACATATGAACGGTAACAGAAAATACTGTGATGCTGAAACAGGTTTAGAGGAGGATATTGATGTGGCCGTCGATGCTGCCAGTGTAGATGGTGGCTTGGCCGTCTTTGTCTTTTGGAATGTTCAGTGCGAGGGACTGCACTGGTTTGCTGTGGCCCTGCAGATGGGTTTTCAGATAGCACGTGACATACAATGCACAGTCCAACATTTATCCAACAACACCGATTTATCCATTTATGCTTTGTTATGTTATTATTTTAGTCATAAGTACAAATAAGTTTACCCTTTCAACTGGTACAAAACTGACACCTTTATACAAGGCATCATGTTTGCAATAACCACAACACAAGCAGTCAAAATGCAAACAAAAAGAAACAACTCTGATGATGATAATGATATGCACTGTCCTTGAAGTTGATTGGTCCACACCCGAGACAGCTTTTCTTAGAGCCGAGTCTCCATTGGTGTTGGACCAGATGACGCCAAATGGCGTACAACTCAAAGACAGAGCACTATCAGAGTATTGAGAGCTCGGGGTAAGCATTTACACTATGAGACCTCCTTTACCAGTGGCAAAATATAGTAATAGGTTTTTACCCTTTCAACTGGTACAAAACTGACACCTTTATACAAGTACAAATAAGTTGCAACAATTGCATTTGTTATCCTCAATGTCATATCCAAAATTATCTTATAATTGAGAAAATTACGTAATTATTATTGCACCTTTTGAAAAAGAGTAGGCCATGTAAGCTGGCGTCATGGTCCAATTTTGTGAAATGTAATCCATTTCTCGCAAATTACTTAATTGGGAGAAACCAAATATCAGCATCGCACCCCTACTGGCAGACCAATGCCCGTATGCATGTCGGTGCTGCTGCATTCACCTTGTGCTGCACAGGGACAGCTGCCACTGTGGTCACCCTGGCTAGATTGCAGCAGGGTATTGGAACGGTTGAGATGAGATGCGATGGAAGGTGCTTCGATTTGCTGAGGCATTTAAGCCAGCACCCTATAAATGCAAATGGTACCCACCTGCCTCGATTGAATACATTGGATTATCATGATATATTACTGATAGGATGGTACTGCATACATTCTAATCAGTTATGTCCTAGTTAACATAGAATAACCAACGATTTGGACAGTATTACAAATGCAGTGTATTACAAATCATCACAACATGTTTGGGTGGGTAACATTTCTGGCAAGAATTCAACTCTATTTCACACATTGAAATGTGTAGATAGAGAATTATGTTTGCCTCTTCCTTTTTTATGTGCAAACCACTAGAAGCCTGAGAATTAAGCATGGCATTTGGTTTACACAATACGTGAGGCAATCCTTTAGACTGTAAAATCTCTCTGTCCATAACTATGAATCCTGGTTGCTTGATTTCACAGCATTGCCTCATTAGCAGTTTAAGTCTTTATTATAGAGGATTACTTCATTACACTTTGACAAGAGGAAATACCTTTAACTCAAAAAAAAATTATCCAAAAGGAAAACCTCAGGGGAATAAATGTCACCTTAATTAGGAAAATGTGCCCCATAGGATTATTATCGTCACAAATTGATGTGGAGGGAAAAAGCCCCTCTAAGCCACGCTAAATTGGTTCGGGATTAAAATTTGCATGTGCAAAGCTGCAGATTTAATTGGGGAAATTGTACTTTAACTTATAGCTAATCAACATTGATATGTATATATTTTATAATAATTTAAGCAAGATTACAAACACATGCACAGTTGATGCAGCATACGATTTATAAACTTTATCAGATAAATATTGAGGAAATTATTTAATTATTATTGAATACCGCTTGTTTAATGCTGTGTATTAGTTGTTTAGTGGGGAATTGTGGACATAAAAAGCAAATGTATCCGAAGCAACAGTTTCCTGCTGCAAATTGGTTGTATTATATAAGCATATGTGTGCTTTTACACTAATTATTTAAATTTAAGCTAAATATCCTTATAGGTGTAATTGCTGCAATTTTAAACGAATGTATACATTTAAAAAAATATTTGTACCATGTGAAGTTTCAGTGTAGCTTTAAATAAATAAGAATTCGTCTTTTTTGGTAGCCCTAGGATAGCGGTGTATATTCTACATATCAGAGGTGGGAGCCACTCTGTCATAGAATTTCGACTGATGATTGGATCAACAATAAAAGGGGTGGTAAGCTCAGTCGACCTTTAACTGGGATTTAAACTCACGACCTTTAAGTTGTCACCCGAGTGATCTAACATCAGTGCCATCCAATGGAATACACCAATACTATACCGCACCACAAGCGATCCAACAAGAGGCTTATTTCAATGCTGGTGAAGTCAAAGTTTGAACAGAAACAGCAGAATGCACCTTGATGACTCGGATGGGCTTGCTGGGATTGTTGGCGTCCAGGTAATTGATGTGCCCAGACAGTGAGATGCTGAGCATGTGGGAGCCCTGCCAGAGGCAACCCAGCTGCTGGTCGGACACGTCGGGGCCCATGCTGAACGTGGTAGTCGCCGTGCTGGTGGCCACATCCCAGAGTCGCACGGTGCGGTCGCCCGATGCCGAGATAAGCTGAGAGCTGTCAGCACTCCAGCTGATCTGAAAGGCGGTCATATTTTTTGCTCTGTTTTAGAGGTGTATGTTTTTCATCAGGTGTAAGGCAAAATGCTAAAACTTAAATCCATCATTGGCAACATCTCACCTTAAGCAGACCTCTGTTCTGTCTCCACAGACAAATAAAATATTGTTTATTTATCTTGACTTAAAGCTTTCGTGACTGCAGGAATTCATATTCTTTGGGTCTTTTAGCTTAGCCACGTAGATAGACAGAAATTTTTACTGATTTATTTTTAATAATTTTTCTATCTACGTGGCTTCACCGAAAGACCCAAAGAATATTGTTTATTCATTGACATATTAGCTTTCCAGATCAATATTATCCAGCAGCATTTGTTTAGGCAAGTAAAATCTGGACCAGTTTCGACAAACCCAGAAGGCTGCAAACAGTCCAGACTTTGCCTGCCTATAGAAATGTTGGAAAATATTGGTCTGAAAAGCCAAAAGGTCGATGGCTAAAAATATGTTATTTGGAAGGGGAGACAGAATGAAGGTATATTTATATGTTACCAATAATGCTGTACAATACCGCACACTTGTTGAGGACATGCAATATTGACTGCAAAGGCCAAGCAGGTATTTGTTTGAAATGCCAGTGGAACTCATTTTGTTGACAAAACAGGGACGATGGGTTGAATCGATCTCTGACGAGGAATTGAACTTGCAAACTGTCTACTCGTGCTACGAAGCCAGATTTTTTATTTTAAAGATCCCTAAGTAGATTCGAGCTACTTTCATGCAACCTCATAGAACAAATTTCAAGAAGACTATCCAAATAGTCTGTCCTGACCACGGGTAGGAGATATCTTTTCCTATATTTTAATTACGTTTTATTACACGAGTAGAGTCAAGGATGTATTAATAAAGTATGGATACCATTCTTTTTTAGTTTGAGATTTGGTTCAATCTTTGGAGAATGGGCTAAGCCAATAACAATGTTCAAAATAACTATTTTATCCAAGAAGATATCAATTGATTTAGGCTCAGAATATAATTGCAACTATTAACGTGGCTCACAAGGTTTTTGTTGAAATTATTGTTTAAGTTGAGCTTACAATGTTTAAGGGATCAGGGCTTATGTGGGAAAAATAATGGTTAAGGCTCTCGGTGACAACCTGCCAATACTTCAGGATGAGTTAGATTGACGCTGCTGTAAATTTGCTAGCAGACACGTAAAATACTGCCATGCGCCTCCTGTGTGGCAGCAAAGGGCATTGTTGATGCATGAACACATGCAGCTTGTTGCCTAAATATAATGATGCAGGTGCACGGGCCAAAAAAGCACATCTGCAGGGGTTGCACTAGACTAGGTGGAAGGGAGATGGACTGGGTAATTGCAATGTAATATATGCCTGCAGGGTATGTCAATGCAGAGAAAATTGCTTTAAACATAAAAAAAAATTGCGTCAATCCATCTGCCGATGTTAATTGTCCAGGGCTCTATGGATTTTTTTTTTATTTTTAGCTGACCGACATCTTCGTAGTCCATCTGCCTGTGTCACTTACAGCATAAATTCCTCCATCGTGCGCCTTGTCTCCTCCCAGGGCACATATCTTCTGTCCGCTCGTGCCATCGTACACAAAGATCTGAATGTCAACAGCCCACGCATTGGTTAGAATATTACGTCGAGGGTTAATATATCTTAACGTCTCTATTCTAATTTTTCATGAAGATATACAGTACACCTTCCATGAAATAAACTCAAGGTTAACTGACCTATAGTATAAAGGTGTAGTCCTGCAATTGCTTCCTCGTGCCACTGCTGATATAAAAGCCTCCACTCAAGTGAAGTTTAGAGGGCACCTCGAGAGGGTATTTTGGCCTACTCTTCCACTGTGTTTCGACATCTTGGAAGAGTTGGGAATACCCACATTTTACTCCACTACAATCGACCGACTGATGTGCACCCATTTATACCGCTGGGTGGATAGAGGCGGCCAGTTTCATGAAACTGGCCCCAATGTTTTTATTGCCATGGCAGGATGTTGAACCGGTGAATTCTGGGTTGCAAATCCATTACACCATGGCAGCACTTATAGTATAGTATTCTTCAATCAAAATATTCCATTCTCTGCATCTAATTAAATGTTTTTACAATTAAACCCCAAGCTGAAAATTTGAATCCAAATATGGCAATGAAGGTTGTAAATCATGTGTTTGGAATGTAATGCAAGAGTGTAGGCTCAAAAATAGGTTGAAACTGGCAAATACCTGACCATCGGCTCCAGCTGTCGCAAACCTTGCACCGTCAGGAGAAAATCGTATGCAGTTCACAAAGCGGGTATGGTCCTGCATACATATGGGCACCACACAGTAAAATACAATGCTCTTTAGACACGCATGGACCACTGACCACTTGCAAACATGGCCTAGCGGTAGTGCATTAACCACTTGTTGCAGAAGTTCATGTGATTAATACTGCAAGCACAATGCATTAATAATACACGCCGTCTGCTTCGCAGTGGAAGTTAAAAATTTCCTGCCGTCGTTTGTAAAAGTAGGCTATTGTTTGCCGGCATCAGGGTGCAAATTTTCCAAAATTTAAAATGATTTCTCAATTGGAATTAGATGTATAAATCATCGCCCCCCCCCTACTGAGAAATTAATGTCCATTTTCAGGCCAGGTGTTGAGTCACCTTGTGCCCAAAGGGTCAGCTCCAACTGGGGGTTCCCCTTCAAATGGTTGAGATGTAATGCACTTTGAGAGAGTACAGCGTATAAAGCAGCAACATATCTAAAACAAATTGTTTTATTACTGCCTGTGTTCTTCTGCATTTTTCGTGATATATTTGAGCAATAGAAAATCATTGTATTAATAGGATCACCACTGTTATGTTGTCACAAAGTGGTATGCATTTTCTCCACCATGTTGGTCTGACCGCCAACCAGGTTTTGAAAGCAGAACCATCTTTAAATTGGGAGGCCTTAACCACAGCATCACTTGCCGGATAGCATATAATAGTTTAACATGTAGGCTTTCGCGACTAGTATTATTCATAATAAAGGTTTTTGGGTTAGAGCGCGTTATTTATAAATGTGTCGCAATCCTCCACCACCCGACACGGCCAATCAGTAAAAAAAGTGTCACGTTGACAAAAGACAAATAGTTCACTACTTTAGCCCACCGGTGTGTTGAAGAGTGGATCCACAACATTTACAATTTGAGTACGACGTTTCGCTGGAACTGAATAGCTGGGTTTTGCGCATTGAGATTATTTAAAATGCATTAAGTGTATCTTTACCATGTGGCCAGATAACCAAAGTGTCATCGACATATCTAAACCAAAAAGATTGTTTAATGTACTTGAGGCAAGTGCTCTTGTTGAAAAGTTTTCCATGTACAGATTTGCTACAGCAGGAGACAAAGGAGAGCCCATTGCTTCTCCTTCATTTTGCTTAAAGAAGTCACCTCTAATTGAGCATACTACTGCATATATTTTCACGACCTTAGCCGCAGAGCTCTACGATGTGTGTTTCCCGTTGTCTTGCACATTGTTTAATACAGTTCCAAAGGAAGCTCCCAGCATGTTAACTACCTTGCCTGGTACACAGGTCATCGGTTCGATCCCGACTCTGATGCCTATATAAATGGAGTTTGCACATTCTCCCCGTGGTTGGTAAACCCTCCGCATGTTGAAACATACGTTGAGAGCATTTGGCTGCTATGAATTTCCACGTGATAAGCCAGTTTGTTATCGTTTGTGGCCAAGTCGCTTCTGAAAAAGAGTTATATAGGTCAGTGGGCCGTAACTGGTAAAATATTATTTTAAAAAGTTACATGGAGGAAAATGTCAGAAATCATGCCGGACAATACACGGTGCTGCAACCGATTTAACGGACTGCTTCACCATGAGCGTGAATTGGAACTTGAAGGGTGGGCCATGGTAGAAGGCGCCGCAGTTGTCATCGCTGGCCGTCACGAGGCGGTAAGGGCGGCTTGGACGGATGTCCACGCTGTTGATGGTCTTGGTATGGCCTGCGATTTCTCCCACGGATGAACCTGAGTCCCACAGGATCACCGAGCCATACCTGCCACAAGCCACACATGATTAGCACCTTGGGCGCTGGTGTTGTGTCAATTGTTAAGTACAAAGAAACTAATAAAAATTCATGTGACATGCAGCAATGTATGCCAAACGAATTTTGGGCAGTGCACACCTTTGTTGGCAGTCCTTTATAGGATGAGCAGAATACACTTCCCACAGAGGCACTCATTTTATTGAACTCCAAATGATAAAGAGCTAAGTTGAACCCTAAATGGATTTTAAACCTGGATCAGGAGCTTTACCAGAGTACCACATATGCGAACTAATAACGATTAATTATAATTATACAGCACAGACTAGATCACTGCCTAGATGGACACCATCAGTGATAAGGCAACGGACAGTTTTTCACTCCTATGGCCAAGGTGCCTTGGCCGCCAGAGTGAATCTATTACAGCTGGATTTCGACACATCTTAGGCAACTCTTTGATCAATTTCAGCCGAACTGTTTCTATTTCTTATAATTTATAATAACATTTTGTTCACATTTACAAGGGTTATCGTATCCCCACATTTTAATGCGGACAGAGCTGAGGCTTTAACCTTGGTTGGAAAGCGTTAACAAGTGCGTCATAAAAGTGAGTGGAAATTACAACTCACTTCTCCCGCCCCTCCCCAACGATGGCGATCCTTTTGCTGTCCTCGCTCCACGAGATGTCTTTGATCTTCCCGCCAAAGGGCTGGTACTCATACTTGAGGATGTGCTCCTTCTGCGTGCTGTCCCAAATGCGCAGCTTCCCTGACACGTCTGCACATCAGTGGGGGCGGGGGAGGTCATGCGCTGTTAGAGCCAAACCGGCTTCAGAATGGACAACAATCAGAGATGTGGCCGATCGCTGTTAGCCATGTGACTGCTACGTCACATTTAATTTTCTCAACATTTTACCCAATGGCTTTCTTAAAATTGTGCGTTTACAGCCCTTTTGTCGATTCACTCATGGATGAGGACCTCCCCATACCGTGCAGGTCATTGGGGTTGTTTGACGATACTTCCAACACACTGGTTAGCAAGGGTTGTGAATGCGGGGATCATAGAAGTGACAGCATAGACAAAGTATTTTCCGGCACAGCTCTATTCTGCCCTCAACAGCCTATTACACTTGTCATGCATGGTAGTCACCTATTCAAACGCTATGTAGGCTCAAGAATGCGTTACTTCTTAGATCTGACATGATCGGGCACACTCACAAGTGATTTGGGCATTGGCCTGAAAAACATCGTTGAGGTAAATTATTACCACATCGGGCTATTTTGGAGGACAACTCGGAGGTCATGTTTGTGTGTGTGTGTCGGTCATAGGCTTCTTTCAATTAAGCAATATTAAGTGCATAATAGCCACTAAGGTCCTTCTCCAACAAAGTTCAAATGGGTGACAGAACAGCTGTCACTGAGCTTTTTTGCAGCAGTAGTGGCGGTTGCTTTGTGAACACGGCTGACCTCCAGATGCAATGTAGAATCCGCTGGGTGCATACTTGGCCACCAAAACCTGATGAGAATGTTCTGTGTAGACATCGCTTATTGCAGGATTCTGCAAGAGAAACGAAATCACATTATTCCAATAAAACCTGGATATTTAAAAGTCAAAGTATCTCAACAACTGAAACGAGCATTGCCCAGTGTTCATCTCTGTTGGTGATTGTGATCCAATAAGGGAAAATCCACGTTACTGTATGACATTGCTCTTCAAAAATGTCAATTACTTTTGACTTACTACTCGAGCTGGGAAATCGTTTGGTACAAATCCACCACGAATTATTCCTACAGGAATCGCAATGCTGTTAATGGGTAATTCCTATATAAAAATGTCCACATACTATAAATGAGTGAGCATCTGCGTGTGTACATCTATGAAAATGAGTCGACATTCCATCATTTGGTAATCACTTTGGTCTTCGTGGAGTGATAATCATGGTAGTTCCAATGGTAGCTCTGGTAGAATCCAGTGATGTTGACAGTTTTAGTGGTAGTCTGGATGGTACTATTGGTAGTCCTGCTGGTTGAGGTGGTCACTGTGGGAGTTCCAGTGGTCCCAATGGTTGACGAATGTCAGTTGACTAATATTGACCAGAATCGTCCTTGAAATGGATTACATAGACTATGGTCATATGTATCAATTGCGATTTTGATCAATAGGTTGGTCAGGTCTTGTAGACCCTCTATATTTTTACTATGCCAAGCTCATCACCCTCCCACGATTCAATGGTTCCGCTGATTAAAGATTCTTGCTCGAAATCATATTGGATACCAAGGGTGAACTCATTATTCCGGGCTTGGAATTGGGATAATTTTGCAGTTCTATTTCCTCCCAAGAGTTGAATCCTAGTGGTGCTTACTTCACTGATAACAGAGTTATGAGAGGCTAAGTCAGGCTCATACGTGTAAACCTGTTACCTTACCTGTTGAAAAATCGCAAAGCCAGTTGGACCACTGCTGCCAATGTAATATGAAGCTGCTGATGTACATTTTATACATTATTTAGGAAGGTACATATATGTAATTTCTGATGTTACTATAAGAGCACCTAGAAATCAATACTGTAGAGCACTTTTAATCCATGACCCTATTATCCAAGATTATTATTCTGTTATTATCCACAAGATAGATGTTTTCTATTATCCACTGGATATATTTCTTCCATAATGTATAATCATACCAAGTATAAGTGGAGTCAGCTGAATGGTATGGTAAATTATTCCGAATATCCTTATCAGCTGCTCCCGCTATGGATTGATGATAATGTTGCCAAGTTTGGAGCGATGGATCCAAGTACCTTGTGGCTTTCTCTTGGTTATAATGATGATGCTTGGAACACCACACTAGTCACAAATTCCTTTGCATTTACTCATAGCTAAGTGGCACTCAGGGGTGGTAATGGGAGAGGCAATAACACAATGATTCCTGTAATTCCAGGCTATTAATTGGATAGCAGAATAGAGTAGTGAAAATTGCTATTATCTGCGCTTATCCTCAGCCTTCTGTGTGGATAAAAGTAGTTTTTTTAATGGATATAAGCAGATTAAAACAATGAACAGCACATTCCATATCTCAACAGATATGAGGCATGTCACTGTTCGTCCATGTTATATGTATAGGGCACATGTGAACACCAATTTGACAGCGTACCTCGATGTTGCGGATGATAACACTCTTGCCGTTGGTGTAGAGGAAGTTGTTCCCTTTAGGGTCTCCTCCGATAACCTTTGCAACACCTCTCTCCACCTGCGGAAGGCTGGCATACAAGCTTTCTAATGGCACACAAAGACACACACATATATTTTAGTTATATTTTTCATATTTGGCCACAATTGAATGACACTTATGAATAAACTCTCATGCAACCATATCAATGTCAAACATATAATAAGGTGATGAAGCCAAGTGTTCCAAATGATCTTTTAAGTTGCATTTGTAGGCCAGATAAGTGGGCAGTGCAACAACTAGATATGTAAGTGGTCAAAATGAACCGATTGCATTTGGACCAATCACGATAAAAAAAGTCTGTTGTAAACAAAAACATCTGACACAAATCACAACTGTTTTAGGGTTGCTTTACCAACATGACTGCAATACACAGTATACATCGGGGTAATTTATTAACCACGGGCTTTGGCTTTAAATGTCACGGTTTATAAACAATGCTGGAATTAATAATGATACATATGTCTTTTATATAGGGCCCTCCTATACGCGGCGCTTTAAATCTCATCCGAAACATTCACACCTCCGATTAGCACGGTTGGCTACGTATGGTGCGAAAGAAGTTCATACATTTGAAAGGGCACCCCCTGTGGCAGCTGTCCCCGTGGGCACAAGGTGACTCCGCAACTGGCCTGTAAATGCGCATTAGTCTGCCACTAGGGGGTGATGATTGCTATGTAATGTAATAACCCCAACCATGCTATGGATATCAGGCCCAGGTTTACTGGCTGGATTCATGCAGGCAGCGTGAGTGTGGTGGTGACGTCACCGCGTATATTTGCGTGATGACGTCAGCCCGCATACCACAGCGTTGAGCCGGGTTCGTGCGTGCTAACGTCACCCCCCAACGCAATTGCGTGAGATGTTATCATACTTCAACACCACCAGGAACTTTTATTAAAACAACGTTTTGCTGGCTGGTTGGCCGGATGGACGGACGAATGGCCACGTGTATATGTTTGTTAGTGATGATTTACTTACCTTTCTTATACTTTGCACTCCTATTGTGTTTTTTTCCCTATTGTTTGTTGTTGTAACGTTCTGACCCGCCCCTACTGAACATATCTTTTTTGCTCATCGGATTCCTCCACTAGAAATGTTTTGATTCTGAAGTTAAATAATTATTGACGACAATAGAGGCAATAAATATATACAAAGTATTCGTGCGAATGGCTCAGTCATACCTGAAGTTGTAATGATGTGTTTCTATATTCTATATAGAGTACACACAGTATTAGTGTTCAATTACACGAACAAGTCTCCCTTACCATACGTTCGGGGTTAATGGCCACATAACTTGCAGCCCCGAGTCAGTGGTGGAAATTCGACATTTCTATGACAGGGACCAGCAACAAATCATACTGTGTGGATTATTCTTGAGCGAATTGCCTTTTTGTAAGCTTTCATACCGCCTATAATGCTCTCAGCACAAAGTCCATGAGCTAAGACCACATTTCATTTGCCGTTGCCACCTGCGATGACAACTTAGGTGGTTCCAATTTAATCACGCGGCCAACAACAGTAAAATTATATAACGACCATTTAAAAATTGTGGGTTACCAGATAGTTCACTCTAATTGGTCATATAAACAAACCCGTACGACTAAAGTGTTGCTACTTTAGGTGGCACAGTACTATGCCATTTTCTGATTTGGCCCATGGACTAATAACAAGGAAGCCTACGTGTCAATCTAACACTAAAGCTTTCACGATCAATATCACGATTCATAATCGATATTCGGGTCAGATCGCGTTGGTAAAATGTGCGTCGGGTGGAGGAGGGTTTCCGACACACATGGTGGTACTCGATCCGACCCAATACAACATCTTATTATGAAGCAGGAGTTTATTGTCGCACGGGTTCGTGACCCGGTCCGGTAACCCCTTTGGGTGTGGCACGCCCGCCACTCGGGAGGGCTTTTGGTGAAGGTGGCACGAAGATGTCACAATAACAGTGACAGATTTTACTCGTGGGAGTACAAACAAATCCATTATCGCACGGAGTATGACTCAATAATAACACAGTGACGAATACACAAGTACCCACAAACTCCGGGCCAAAATCCTACACTTGTAAGCGAAAACCAACAACACTTATGATTATCAATGTCCTGCACATGCAACTAATTAAACCATTAAAATCACATATGGCCACTCGTGTGAAACTGGCCATTTGTATTAATGGGGTTACATAAACCAAGGTAATCTAACGACATTCTGAATTAATATGCCATGCATTTACATTAACGTTAATAGCCTACTAACTTCCTGCAAGCTGGGCCACTGAGTAGCGCAATACAGTCTACGCACATGCCTTGAATGGGTCCCGTTATAATGAAGGCACGAGAGACACTGTTACTTAACACAGGAATGTGACAGCGAGCGAGCGTAGCTACAACTAAACTGTACGTGAGTATTGCGTGCGATGTCACTTACTGAGCTGGTAGGGCATTGTTGACGGACCCGTATGTCCACACCAGTATCACAGGAATTGTTTAACCTGGTGTTAATGCTGAGCTGTTCCGTAATACAAGACGAGAGAGAGAGAGACGTTAGGGCCGAAGTGGGAGGGTGAACGTCTCTTGATTTTACCTTATATGGCAGCAATGTGCCGTGGTGGGTGAATGACAGAGCTTCCTCTTTTTTTCCTTTGCTCGCTGCATTGGTCTAGTAGAGCCCTCTGCCGGCGTCAACATTGAAGTGTTGGGCATATTCTGGGGTTTGTAGGAGGAGATGTCTCAGTAGAGGGCAGCATTGCTCTAAGTCTATGGGCCAGAGTAGCATTCGGTACCTATCGAGGACTGCACATATTTGATGAAACTGGTTTGTGTATGTGGATAATAAAGTGGACTGCGTAAAAATAATCGTTGCATGATTCACTTTATTGGTGATTTTAATATATTGGTAGAATTCTAGCGTTGGCATCTCAAGTTATACCAAAAAAGTGGGCCTTAACTGGTAAAATAAAAATCATCTTTGAATTTAGTTTGACATATATTTGGTCTGGGCCCATGGGCTATACGGTATAGAAACATACTTTGAGCGACCTCCTCAAGCTCTCAAACAAAGTGTCGTTTTCTATTGAGTAACCTTTATTCACCATTGTAAAAATAAAACAGGTATTTACATAATGATCATTGTGGGTCCTAATAAGTATTTAAACTGGTTCATAGTTGTCTATCACTGCTTCACTGCTGCCTGTCAATCAGTCACATCTGCTCAAATAATTTTTGATGGTGACACAAGACACGGACGAAAATGCACTACTTCAGGAAATACAGATAGCTTTAGCATATGCACAAGTACTGTGTGCTTTTTACACATTTTTGGGTGTTATTTGAAACTCAAGGATTTGCAGCCTGCACTATTATTTTGTTATGATGGGGTTTATTCATAATTTACAGATTTATTCTTGTTGGCATTAGCCAAGCTAATGGGCCCCATAGTATGGGTGTGGAGCCTACACTTACATGGTATCGAGAGGCAGACTTTATAGAGCAGTGAGCGTTGTTGAGTACTTTACACTAAACACTTTGACTGAATGTACATGGCTTAATGCTGCCTGTAGGTCACATTTGCCAAAGTTGATTTTGTTGGCGGTTTAGGACGAGGACTACAATGAACAGATACTTTCTACACATTTTTGTGCGTTGAAACGTGCGTGTTGGTTTTTTGGCCTGCACAAGTATTCTGTCTTGGGGGTTTGTCATTTACAGATATGAAACATCTACAAATTAAACGGGTTAATTTAGGAAGTAATACAAACAAAATAATTGTACTTACAATGCATATGTTTACATAAATGTCTGTTAAGACGGGGGTTGAATAGGGTTTGAATTGGACGTTAAGATAAGGGGCCGTCCATAAATGACGTCACGCACCTAGTGGGGGGGGGGGGGGGGTCAGGCATTTGTGACGATGTGTGACGAGGGGGGGGGGGGGGTGAAAAATGTGACGTCACATCAAAATGCGCAACTTTAAATAAATATAGACAACACGTTCTGCTTAATTAAATAGACTTTTTAATCAATGTTTTCTCCTACAACATCAGGGTGCAGCGGCACATTAAATACGCACTGCAATGGCAATAGTTTAAAGCAATTTGAAGCATTTTTTTTATTTTGGGGGGGTGGGCAGAGCTTTGTGACATCATATTTGAGGGAGGGTCTGACTTTTTGTGACGGGGGGGGGGGGTCCAAAATCGTCCAAAATCGTGTGACGTCATTTATGGACGGCGCTTAAGGCAAACCAACTGGTTTAAATAAAATACTGAACAGTATACCCAAATATAGCATGTAAATTCCTCCATAAAATAATTTGCTAATGCTGTGTGTATAAGACCACGTTTTGCCTTTTGTATATTGTATGGTAGAGTGTTGGCTGGGTTATCTGTTTATTGAAGCAAAGGTTTGTGAAAATATGCCAACACTATATCCCTTTGTTATTATGATATGCCGTACTTGTTGGCTGGATTCTTCCAACCCAAGTTTGGACTTTGTAAAAGAATTAGACCTCACACTCATGTTCCACGGTAAAATTCCACCGTTTTGCGAGTGCTGCACTTACAGATGTAATCTTGTAAGCAGAGCGGCAACAGGCAAAAGCCCTGCATGAAAGTCTTAGTGTGTGGTCTTCAGCTGCATGGGATGAGCCGATTTTTTGTTTTACTTTTGTGGGTGCATGATATCAGGTGGCAACTGATTTCTCAAATGGTGCAATGGTCATTTATTATTTTGACACTGGCAGGGGGTTCACCTACAATATGTGGAATGGTTGAAAATAATTGCAAAATAAAAGGAAGGATTTATATATGAAGCTTATATTTTACTCTACTTCACCGCTCCTTTTTCCACACAAAGTGAAATTATTATTGATTTAATTGCTGGCCAAGTGGTCAGTCAGTTCTAGGAAAGGCATTTGAGAAAGACTACTTGGGTTGTGATTAGTTAATTCTAAGAAAACATTTGGGGCTGTGGACTTTTCCTTGTGAGAATAGATTGATAAGAGTAAGATACACAGTGACAAGAATACAAGGAAAACACAAGAATAAGTGAATGGAACAATAGTAATACTGTATAAAATGGGTGGCCCCATCCTTATAAGAGTATAGTTCAATCAGTGGAAGGAATAAGCATAAATTGTACAGTAATTATACAATGATCGGTGATTGATTACTTAAATACTCGGGAATCCCAGCTGTGTAATGGTGTTTACACGACTTGCAGACACTGTTGGCTGCTACATATACCACAAAAGAATAATTTTAAAATCAATATTCACATATACATTTTTTAAAATATCTATATCTACGGTCTCCAGTTGAGCGAGACCACTCTGACCCCAAGGATAAAATGAAACACCAGCAACGACACGGTTTTTCATATTGCATTGGAGGCAGTTTCCCCTCTGGCTGGCATTTGCCATGGCCATTCATAAACGCCAGGGGCAAATCTTCAAATCGGGGTTGATGCTCCAAAAGGCCGTTTTCACGCACGGTCAATTATAATGTGGTCCTATCGCGAGTGTCTTTGATGAAAGCCATTCTCGTTGTCTGAAGACGAGACTATAAATAGCATCGTATATGCAGACGTTCTCCATTGTAAATTTATCATTCTGTATTCTGAAACAGCTATAAAATGAAGATAATGTTGCGTTTCTTTACTCTCCTATCCCCTGTAATGGTCACGTACAAGGAGTGTCACGTCCGGAGTGAGGGGTGGACAGAGATATGGATTTAAGTCACATCCAAAGGACGCGCAGGATGTTAGTCATTAAAAAAAACGTGTATGTCAGTAAATTTCCAGTGTTCTGATTGGCTAAAGTCACGCGCTGTTAAGCGAGCTCCAGGTCTTCTCGGCCACGGTTATTATGCCCTACCTTCTCTATGCTTGCAAAATGTGGTGCCCTCTGAAGGAACATCTGCGCCGGTTTGAGGCATTCAAATGTGCCTGCCTACTCTCCGTGCTGGGTGGAACCAGACTGGATTGTGTAAACTCACAGATCCCTGAAAGATGTTGACATAGTCCCACCAATGAGCTCCTCCGAGTGGCAAGGCTGCGTTGGCTGGGTCATGTAGCCCGCATGCCCAGCCACCGTATGTCCAAGCAGCTTTTGTTTGACCAGATAGGGGACTAAATGGGCTCGGCACAGGTTAGATAAGAGATGGACTGATGGTGGTACGAAAGGATGTGGAGCTGATTGGACTTGTAGATGACTGGTACCAGCAGTATCAAGATCGCCCTCTGTGGAAGAGGCTCGTGAAGGACGCTGCTGGGCAGTTGGAGGTAGTCGCCCTCCAGCAACAACGGAGAGCAGAGGAACGACGCTCACAACTAGCGGAGTTGGCACAGGTAATGCATCACCCATGGCACCTGGGTTTGTCCCGTGATCTGTCTGCGAGCTTTCGACACTTCACGTGGCCTCAAAGTGCACCTGGCCTGGCACAGGTGCCGTGGTGAGGTTATCGGCACTTCGTGGCGTATGGAGGGTCATGCTGATGAGAGGGGGCCACCCGGGGTGAGGAGGTGGATATGTTGGAGATGGGGGCGAGAACCTTCGTTCAACGCCGTGCACTTTCATTAGTACCGTCTGAAATCAACGTGTATCGTGCTTGTAAGAGTCAATTACCGTATTTATTTGTAGTGTGATTGGTTAATGTATGGAAACCATTCAGTTGCAGGTAAAAGCTCTGTAGCCATCACAGACAACTTGTTAATGCATCGTCGGGTATAAATCGTATGCACAGACAACGTGCAATGTGTACTTCATACAGTGGCGGAGCCATGATTTTCAGGTAGAGAGGTTAACCCCTCCAGTAATGAAAAATTATAGAAGTTGTGAGTAAGTAAGGACTTGTTCCTTGCTTTTTATTAGACGCGTGTGTGATCGGCATCATGCTCGCTGAAGGTATGCCTTCATGGGAAGTCGTGTACTGAATACGCGACTGCGCACAATTCTGTGGGTCACTTATAACTGATTTTCCGTTACTTATTGCCAATTATGTACTCAGACTATTGTCCTATCATCTCATAGAGTCCCTGGCACATAATAATATGCTACACAGTGGCAGTGGGGGTCGCAAAATGCCGATGCATTACTAATAAACCTCAATGATCCGATCGAAATTAGGGATGCCGATCGGATGATTGGGGGGGCACGTGCCATCCCCCCCCGACTGGCTCTGCCACTGACTTCGTAGACTTTATTAATTTCTAGCGACTTTCTTACCCGTTATACATTTTGCACTCCTATATTTTGCTGTGTGCATTTTTGTTACTTTGCTGACTCGCCCCTTATTGAACGTGCGTGAAAAAGAGCTTTATTTGCTCATCGGATTCGTCCAGGATCAATAGGGATTGTGACCCTTTGTGAGCCCGGTCTCTAACTCCACGCGTTCACTTTCGGCTCCGCCTCATCTTTTTTGTAGGCGGAGCTTGTATTGTCCAGACCCCTCCCTCTCATCATCTGCGTCGCTCTTATTGGACTGTTGACAAATTCGGGGGCGGGGCTTGTATCGCGCCTACGCCCCTCCCCACCTTTCATTCACCTTTTGGGTAATTCATTAAAACTTTTGGGTAATTCACTCACAATTACTTAACTATTCAGATGCCAAAATGGGATATTTTCCATAAGAGGTTTTTTCTGGGTTAGATCGCGTAAATATATAAATGTGTCGTTCGTTAAAACCCGCCACCACCCGACACAGCCAACTAGTAAGGGTTGTCACATAAACAGAACGTGCCAATTCGTCACTAGTACAGCACACCGGTGTGTTGGAGAGCAAAACCACAACAATTACAATCTAAGCACGACGTTTCGCCAGTAATTACAACTAGCTTCATTAGGCGACAGCCAGATTTGTGGAGAAGTCCACCTGTTTCGTTCCTTAGATTTTTGCCAGTATCAAAGTATGAAAAGTTACGTTTGACCTTTTCTGGCAATAAAACAGGTGTTAAAATGTTCAAACACCAAATAGACACCTTTTGCAAGGCATCTGCATTAACCACACGTACTTGTGGTTAACATGCAAACAAACATGCTCTGATAATAATATATGGCATTCAGATTCCAATTTTCAAGATGGCAATTTAACTGTTCGTCAGGCCCAATGGTGGAAGGTGCAGTCTCCCAACTTATATACCGTATCTCTGGCATCTCTATGTATGAGCTCTGAAGGGCCATTATGAGCCGAAACGTCCCCTTATAAATATATATTTTTTACTTGTAAGAACCGCAGTCTTACTAAATCAGAATATGTATTTATACTGGAGGAATACGATTAGCTATAAAGCTCGTTTTCACAGATGTCCAGTAGGACCAGGTCAGAACGTTATAACAAACAATATAGAAACACAACAGGAGTGCAAAGTATAAGAAAGGTAAACAAATCACATAAAAAATAAATACAAAAATAAAAGATTTTTTTAACCTTACCAGGTAATTCCCATGAAACTTTTACATTATTTTCAGAAGCCACCTGGCCACAAATGACAGCCCAATAAAGTGGCTTATCATGTGAATATTTACACGAATTTGTTGAGATTTTATTTTTGCTTTAACATTTGCTATTGGCCGTTGATACCAAGTCGATCATCAACCGAATCAGGAGTGGGCATGGCCGATGCGGCCACCAGATGCACAAATGAACCTTATGGCGCTACCCCAGCTCTCGCATAATGTCCGTGATGCGGTCATTTTTAGTCTGTTGATGGTCAGCGATGCGGCAATCGACTCATCTCGACGAGGTGTACACGATGCACCAACATCGTGCTTACGAGCATTCAGGGTTTCGGCGCAATCGTCCTCGCTGCGTTTCGACATCGCGGAGTAGCACTGATTTCGGATTGATTGGTACCCCAGTCGCGGAGTTAAGTACACCCCTGGAAAAAAAGTAGTGTTCCAGAAATACAATATTTAATTGCCTCGGCCATTCTGTATTACCGTATTTGGTACCGCCGTAAGGATCAAATGGCGCATCACAGATTCGGCGGTCTCCGAGTGCGGCCACTAATCCCAAACGATCGACCACATTGTAAATGGCTGCGGTCATTACTCCTTTAAAGGAGGAACAGACGAGATCCACTCTGCGTCTGAACAGATTATTGAGTGGATAACAAATCTTTAAATGACATCTTTCATATGCTGCTATGAATCCATACGATAGAAGAGACCAAGTCAAACGGTGATGGTACCCCCCCAAGCCCCCCCCGCCTCCCAACCAAGCTCCCCCTCACAAGCCCCCCCCCCAAGCTCTCACCCCCCCAAGCCCCCAGCTCCCAACCAAGCTGTCGTTGCTGTGACGGTACCACCTGAAGACGGAAGCTTGTGTTGCCTCCGAAACGTCGTGATTTTTATTTTATTTTACTTTTTAATGTTTTTTTACCTACGTGACTTTACCGAAAAAACCTAAGAATATGAATCATTGCAGTCACGAAAGCTTCAAATCTAGAATAAAGCTCCCACTCCCCAAGCCCCCCCCCAAGCCCCCCCAAGTTCCCACCCCCCAAGCCCCCTCCCCAAGCCCCCCCCCCCAAGCTCTCACCCCCCCAAGCCCCCAGGCTCCCAACCAAGCTCCCACCCCCCAAGCTCCCACCCCCAAGCCCCCCAAGCCCCCCCCCAACCTCCCACCCCCCAAGCCCCCCCCCAACCTCCCACCCCCCAAGCCCCCCCCCAACCTCCCACCCCCCAAGCCCCCCCCCCAAGCTCCCACCCCCCAAGCCCCCCCCCAAGCCTCCCCCCAAGCCCCCCCCCCCAAGCTCCCACCCCCAAGCCCCCCCCCAACCTCCCACCCCCCAAGCCCCCCCCCAAGCCCCCCCCAAGCCCCCCCCTAAGCTCCCACCCCCCAAGCACCCCCCCAACCTCCCACCCCCCAAGCCCCCCCTCCAAGCCCCCCCCAAGCCCCCCCCCAAGCTCCCACCCCCCCCCCCCCAAGCTCCCAGGCTCCCAACCAATCTCCCACCCCCCAAGCCCCCACCCTATTCACATGCACCCGGGTGAGGGCGGGGCTTAGACAACTCAAGCCACGCCCCACCCTCCCCTCTTCTTATCCCCACATCCTATTGGCTCACACCGCTCAAGCCCCCTCCCAACCACTTTCCCCCCTCCCTCCCTCGGCGACACCGCGCGCGCGCGCGCGCTGGGGGTGGGGGGGGGGTGCAGGGCACCGGTTTCCGTTTCCGGGCGTGGGGCGACTTTTGACGCGCGGCAGCGGAGGCTCGGAGGGGCGCAACGCACATGGCAGCATGGACCGCGACGTACTCTGGTGGAAGGGGCAGCTCGCGGCCGACGTTAACCAAACGCTCCGGCTCAAGGTGTGTGTGGTGGTGGTGGTGGTTTCCTCCTAACAACATCAATTCGCTGTTACGTTGTATATAGAGAACGAAAAAACCGAAGGGCGCGTCGCTTTATTTCGTGAATTTCACTCGTTTCGTTAAAGCATCGGTTTTGACTTTCTCGATTTTCCACGCCGCATAGGCGGCGCTGCGCGCCGATTGGCTGTGGCGTTTCGCGTTGGCCAATCGGAACGCGTCGCGGCGGCTCGCTGCCTGCGCACCGACCAATGGCGTGCGCGGAAGCGCGAGGGCGGCGCGGGTGCGTGGTGGGGAATGTAAACGTGGCCGGCACGGAAACAACAAAAGAGGGGGGCCTTTTAAACCTGGCCACGCGCTTTGTCCCAGACCGGGAAGGGTGATGATCCACAAAGAACGTTCGATAAATGTTTTGTTTTAAGCCTAGTCGCTTATTGTAAACGCGCGTGTCTTTGACGATGTCTTCAAGTTGTGCCTCTCTTTGACAAATGAAGATTATACCGACGATTTGAGACTGGGTTTTGTGCGTTTAACGCTGCCACGCGGTTATGTTTTAATTAATTAAATCGGTTCCATCAATTGATCTGTGTTGTTAACGAGCATAACTCATTGAGCGTCTCGAATGAGAATTGAATATCCATACCATACAGGATAGGGTATAAACATGAAAGACTATTCACAGTATAGAGTGACGATTCTAATATACATGTTACAAAGTGCCGCGTGCATGGGTGTGTTGTTGTACTCTTAAGGGAATTTAATGGAAGACATCTAAAATTACTAGTGGGAATGATTGCAGGTTTATAATTAAGTTGTGTAAATATCGGTGATTAATATACTAAGTAATGTATCACAAAGGGGAGGAATGGTGGCACAGTGGTTAGCGCAGCGCGCTGTGAACCCGGCCATCTGGGTCGAGGCTTAATAAATCAGTGTCGAGTGATATCTAAATCGATTGTTGTCACACCAGCTACCAACCAGCATATGGACCAGCGCAGTATCGATAAAACGAATCCCCAGTGAACGATCTGGTGTATGGAGGCCGTGATCCAGCAGTGGCTTGACAAAGGATCGTCAATTAAATTAATGGCACGTACAAAGTGAAGTTAATATACTTTAAAACGAAGCAAGAAAAACACATACACACCAAATTGGAATCTAAAGTATAGTTAGAGTTGACGAGCTATACCGGGAAGTTAACGATTTTAATAAATGTCATGTTCTAAGCCAAACAATGATTTTATGTTTATGCCATACGCATGTTTGATGCTTTACAGGAATTGTTGTTACCACTATGTGGCGGTCAGCCGTGTTGAATCCTGGCTCAATGCTCACATCATTGCCACATTATTGACGTTTAAGTGCACTAAAGTCATTTGAGTAGTCCTTGATTTACACAGTACATGATGCCCACTGTAAACTGCTTATCGCTTGCGAATGCCTGATCCGTGGCCTTCAGAGAGGAGGCTTTTTTTAATCGTTGGCCATATGCCTTCATTGCGTTACAGCCAGCTGTTCAAACACTCATCTCGGTCAGGGCGCAAGCTTATGTCCAGTGTGAAGTGTTTTATTGCTTGGTCTGTGGTGAACCTGTGTGACCGAATATTTGAGTGACTTTGAAGAGTAGGAATTGTTAATCTTGCCGTTGAAAATCACTGTTTTTAACTCCACACATTGTGCGTCATATGCTATGAAGCAGGGCCATTTACCGAAATGAAGTCGATCATAGTTCTATATATAGTTTTTTTATATTAAGGCATTGTTAATTGACGAATTTGATATTGCCAACGCAGCACAACAAGATTAATGAGTTTTTTTAAGGCGTTGTGTGTGCAAGCGGTGGTTGGCATTAGCACTGCTACAGAGAACAGTAAGAATGAAATTCACAACTGGTCGTAAAGTTAAATGGAGTTTTTTTTTACATTAAAAGCAAGTGGGTGGGGTGGAAATTTCTGTTGTGCATTGTCAGACACTCAGCCAACTCAGGTGTGGTCAGGGTATTATTTTATTTAAAAAAAATATATAACTCGCCCATTTTCTGAATTCCAAGTGGTTATTGAGCCAGTGTAATAGATTTGGATTTAATGGTAACTATCAAGTTAGAGCCATCTCCAAAACAGTGTTGGAAATATTTTTTCCACACTAATCTAGATGCACCATTCTATTAAATGTCTCACTGCGAGGAATACGAGGATTTAATTCGTTCTACATGGAACATTTTCAAATCCACACTATGGAAGTACATGAAAAGCATAGTGGTTTACAAAGAAAAATACCCGTAATTAAAAATACTGCTGAAGCAGCATATCACATGGACATCTGGCAAGTCATGGGTTGGTCGTTTTAGCATAATTTTCGAAATATTCTGCAGTTAAGGTTCATCATCATTTTATATAATAAAGGTCTCGCCTGTGAATTATAGAAATTACGTATGGATTTATTTGTCGTACTTGTGTGTAGAATGTGTTTGCGAGCATTTTCGGCCCCAATTTAAAAGCATAATAACTTCAAATTGCTGCCTGAAATTGCTGTAACAAAATGGTACTGAAATCCCATGTGGTGTTTTGTAATGATGTTAATGAATGGGATGTAATGGTGGGCTAATTATTCCAGTGCTGTGTGAGTAGGGTGTGACGGCGTCCCCTCCCTTCACTCTGCCTGGTCTGCAATCACAGATTAAGGGAAAAGTGGTGTGCCTTAATTTTTTCCTCCTCCCTGCTCGGTGCTAGCTCATCTGGCTACTCAATAGGGCGACAGCTCCGCTGTAATCAATCAGGCATGGCAGGCTCTCCCAAACAGCTGAGAGTGACCCTGTGATTGGAAACATGATTACACAGGCCACTCGGCACACAAGGATGGGGGAAGCTGCCACTATGGTCTTAAATCTAAACTAAACTTTTAATAATTTCAGCATGTTGCTACATTGTCCAATATTTTTCTGTGGTTATCAATCTGCCAGATGCAGGTCCAAATTATTTAATTGAATTTTATAATCTGTAATATGAATAAATACATTGAGGGTTCTGTTGTGAAAAGGGCACTTAAAAGGCAGGCATTGCTACCAGCATGTAGTTGTTTCATATGAATCTGCTTCGTTTCTTCCATGTGTTTCGATTTAAAGCTTTCGTGACTGCAGGGATTCATCTTCTTGGTTCTTTCGGTAAAGTCACGTAGAAGGGAAGTAATAAAATAATAGAAATAAAACATAATAAAACAATTCTCACGACGTTTCGGCCACAACGCAAGCAGCCGTCCTCAGGTGAAAACCAGGTCCGTCGAGGCGACAGACTCTGTCGCCTCGACGGACCTGGTTTTCACCTGAGGACGGCTGCTTGCGTTGTGGCCGAAACGTCGTGAGAATTGTTTTATTATGTTTTATTTCTATTATTTTATTACTTCCCTTCTACGTGACTTTACCGAAAGAACCAAGAAGATTCTTCCATGTGGTTTAAACTATCTGCGTCCCGGAAATGTGTCAGCTATATAGTTGAATTGATGTGTAATGTACTGTATCTGTGTGCATATGGTGATTGGAATAGGGCCCAATTGTGGGTGACCTAAGTGTCCTGGTTTCCAAGTAAAGGATTACCCCAGACACATTTTCTGGTGGCAGTGGACCATGCAGTCGTGCCTAGAGGCGCTCACAGCAGCAAATGAAGAGGTTTTAATACATCCGACCATCTGAAGGACCAGGGCAAAAGGTCATCCAGAGAAAACATGGTGTTCTGTCCTGCGTTTTGTAAGGAAAGCAGCTTCGGGTATTTTGTCTTATTTAATTTTTGTGTTTAGCCCTCCCAGTATGGCTGGATATGTATGACTTTTTTTTAAAGAATACATCATTGACTGAACAAACATAATATTTCGGTATAGTGCCTAGAAACTTAAAAGATTGTATAAAAATAATTGTTACATATTTAATGTGAATTCTTCACGAAGAAGTACTTGAAGTGCTGCTGAATTGCATAAAAACAAATGATCGAAAAACTGGAAAATAACTTGTAAACATTTGATCAACTTTATTTTCCAAAGAAAAAAAATTATTCCTGTATGTAATTCCTAGGTGACGAAATGAACCAAACTTTTAAGGAAATTTTATCAAGAGTGTTGCATGCAATGTAACTAAAAACACTGGCTGATGAATTATGTTAAATATAACATTACTTCCCCCCCCCCAACCCTTGTAGATACTGTCGTGAAAGTTTTAATCCAAGAAGGAGGATGATAGGTTTGTAGGTGTGTTGCAGGCATTCCCTAACAATTTGGCAAACCGGTTTTTGTTTTAATTGTGCCGTGAGTTTTAAAGAGGTGATGTATTGTGGCCTCTGGTGTGGTCTGGTTGTGTGTGGCTGACGCGTGCAGGAGCTGAAGCTGCCGGCGTACAGGGCGCAGTCGCCCCAGATCAGCCTGCGGAGATTCTTTGCCGACTTGCTGGCAATACTGAGCAACCGCTTCAAGCTCTGCCCGACGGCGCGCCACCTGGCTGTCTACCTGCTGGATCTTTTCATGGACCGTTACGACATCTCCGTCAAGCAGCTCTACATTGTCTCCCTTTCCTGCCTTGTGCTAGCAAGTAAGAGCTCTTCCCTTCTCTTTTCGGCATGTTTTTTTGCACGTGTCTAATTTTTATTCTATTTAAAATTCTGTTTCACGTGTTTTCACTGTTAAATTGTGTAAGTGGTTTTGGTTATTTTTCCCAGAATGAGTTGTCGCTGGACATTATCTGATTGATCTTTTCACCTATGCATCACCTCACTTTTTTATAAATATTTGAACTTTATGGCGTGACCCCAGGGTCCCATAAGCCCCCAGCTCTCGCATAAACATTATATTATAATGTAAACAAAAACTTTGCTCTTTTTTCACCAATGGGTTTGAAGGATGGTGGCAAGTGTTGTCTTGGTAAACTATGCCTTTAAAACTGAAAACTACTTACCTGCAGTACCTCTATTTAAATAAACTATCGAAAAATAATAAAACTAATTTACACCCCTCTGTCAATCATTGTTTTTCTCAGTGTAGATTTGTGAACACACTTTGTAAACAGTACATAAAATATTACGCGTTTTCAATGCGCTGTTCATATTGTAACAAGCGTTTATATCAACGTTTCTCTACAGAGTACTGCTCCTCTTATACGCATTGATACGAGTGGTATGTGGGGACTATGGCTGAACCGCAAAAAAAACCTATCTGCACAGATGCATTACGGACAAGAGAAGTATTATCAAACAGGATAAATTAACGGTGCAACGCATCTCATCTGTTAAATATCTGCAGGTATTAGGATTGTTAGCGATTGATCCTAGCTGCAGACATTGGTAGGTCACAAATTATAATGAAGATAAGAGAGCAGTTTCACGGTATTATGCATACCGCTATGACAAATAAAGGACTTAAGTCGTGTAGGCAGTTTGAGCAGTTTTGGATGAGACTTATGATCCTGCCCATACCCGAGCATGGAGTGCATTCACTTGTTCAGCTCTTCTGCGCATTTGTTCTCGCTGGGCTTGATATGACAACAGAATGATCCGTGCTAGGTGGGTTGCAGCATTTGTGCGCGGTGGGACGGAGTCGCCAAAATTAATTAATTACGACTTTGACTTCCGTTTATTTGAGACCCCGGGGTCCCGCCATAAGGTTCATATATAGCTTTTTCATTTTAAGCGACTGTTTAGAATATATTTTGCCTATTTACAAAGTAATGGAAAACAAGTGAAGCATGCCGAAAAAAAAAACAAATTGCTTCTCTGGGAAACTTAATTGTGGTGTCATTCAAATGCTGTTTTTTTTCTTATCGCATTGATTAGTGTTGCCTTTCCATATCTGGCTGGAGGTGATTCGTGGGGGTTCACGTTTTCACGGTTCCAACAATGATGCTTTTTTAATGTGTGCCTCTGGGCTGGAGGGGGCTTCACAGGGGATATCCTGAGGGTCTCTAGAAACTTGTCTTGTTCATTCTTCCATGACATGAAACCAGAATGCCAGAAGAAGTGGCCATTGTAATTCAACCTCAATTCTGTTTTCTACAGGAGTGGTTGTCAACAAGTTCTAAATGTTGGTTTATTTTAACATTAGCTCTATTCACCGCAAGTCCCAATTTGTATCCCTGCCTTTAACATATTTGCAGTTTTATTCAGAAACCACAAACAATTGCCCATTGATGGTTTCGCAAGATAATTGATTGATCATTTTTGTGGTTTGTGTGTTTAATCTGATTATGGTATAAAGTTGGAAATAGTTAATATTTTAAGGATGTTCCTGGTGATTTACTGTCCGTGGCTTCCATTGTGAATGTGTCCTGTACCTTTTTACTGTCACATGGCGCATCTCTTTGGCTTTTTGAATGCCATTAAGTGACAAATGAATTTGCTGAAGCGAAATGCTCCAAAAAAGAAATAGGCTGGAAAGTGAGCTGCGTTTGAGCTTAATTATATGCGGAGATTGTGTAGGAAGCGAAGCGTCCATTGTTCAATTGGAGTCGGCAGAGAGGAAAGCCATATGGTCCGGTCCTGCCTTTTTATATGCCACGCCATCCCAGACGGAGCCTCCCCCACGTGCTGAATAGAAACTCTGGCAGTCTGATGGTATTCATGCGCAGATAGTGGCTGGAGGGGTGTGCATGGCTGAGCAATCAGCTGTGACTCTAGGCGCCTGCAATAATTAGATTCGTGGATCAGGGTGAGCTTTATGGCCCAACGGGCTGGTGCCATGTGTGGCATATGGGCATCGGACTTCTATGGTTGCTTGTACCCATTAGCAAGAACATTCCCCCCCGCAATCTCATTTGTTCAGTCCAGAATTTTCTCACATTGTCGCAACTTTGGCAGCTTTTTCCTATGGGACTTGTTTGATTTGTCTTTTATGTGTGATCTGCAGGGGGAAAAATCTTGCCAAATAAACTCTTATAGGGAAAGCACTGCATGTGTGTGGATCGCAAAATCAATTGGGAGCTTGGAATGCTTTCAGTACAGTTGAAAATTATTTTTTCACAAAGCAAACTTAAGTTTGTGCTGTATTGCATCAAATTTAACTTTGCTATTTTAGTGATGATTTCCCCCCCTCAATACCAGCCTTAGATGCACTCATTTATTATTCATATAATTGGAATAGTTGTTTATTTACTTGATTGAAAAATAAATAAATGATGTTTGTTTTGGTCTACTAGTATCTGTTTATCTGTGGATCATTTTGTCATTTTATTTGTTTGCTTGTTTGTGTTAATTATATCAGGGGCCAAGACATGGGTTGGTTAAATGTCTTGGTGGCCTAAGCCGTAACGTTTGAGAGCCATTTTTCACTTGCCATCTCTGCTGTGCTCCCCTTCTCTCGTTATTCCAAGTAAATCTGTTGATCGTGTGCTATGGGGCAGGATTTCTCGTCCATAAATGTAACAACAACCGACTTCCAAAATAGTGTCAGGGATGTTAATGTTTTTGAATGGTTCCAGTTTATCTCGCAAATCGGATGCAGATCACAACTTGGCAAGAAGCCTTGGCTTTGCGTCGTTGTGTTGTGCTACTTTTCGTATCCGTATCCACTACATAAAAGAAAACATTAATATGCTTTCCATATGTAATGTGGTGCAAGTAAATTGATGGAAAATATAAATGGGGAGAAGGAATTTAATTATTTGAACAAGATCAAAATGCTGTGTGTGCACAACTTAAATGTTGTTTGACATTTCTTGAAAAACAATTATAATCCAGTGTGTTTTCACTGAAGTCGACCCTTTTGTAGCATCCATGGGGGAATTTTCATTACGAATGGGCATTCCTGGGGAGTTCAGGGAAAGCAGGTGAGGGTGTACGTTGCTTTCCCTGTTTTCTCAAGGACTTGTGGGAGAGAGTTTCCATTTTACACCAGTGTAAAATAGTGGCTGTGCACGGTCAGACAGAGCCGCGATGAGCCAAAGTAGAGAATGGATGGTTTGGTAAATCCATGAGCATTACTTGCTTGAGATCTTGAGCCTGGAGTCTGCTGCCTTGATGCTCATTCTCTCATGCTGTCAAGTTGATGCAAACAGAAATCGGAATCTTTAAATGAAGTAAAACAATTGCAGCCATTTTTCATCCCAATGTTGGACGAAGGCCTCATGCAATGTTGTTTACGGAGGATGTTTGACCGTACTTTTCCACCCTGGTCATTGTGGATTTGTGAATGCGGAGGGGGGGTCGTATATCACTTGACACTGATGCCAGCTGTAGCCCCAAACCCAACTCTGATAGGTGGGCCCAAAGTGTAGTGTAGTTACCGCAATTAGAACCTTTGTATATTACACAAAAGTTGCCTTTAAAATATAGCATTATTTTGTTATTTAAAACTGTTTCATTATTTATTTGTAGGTGAAGCCTAGACAAGAGATGTGTATCCATTTAGTGATGGTTTAAATGTCATTAAGTCACTTTATTATATATTTCCAAATTTTTTCTTTCCAATACAGTATTCAGTTTTTAACCACTAAATTAATCACTGTTGTAAATGTGGAAATTCGTTTATTTTAGAGTAGTTTTGAAGATCACTACAAATAACATTTGTAACTTTAGTTACTTTAGTTACCTTTGTAAAATGTTTTACCCATATGGTTAGGAAATGTCCCGTGAACGAGGGCTTGTGTTGGCAGTATGTAACTTTACTTAGATTGTATCTGAATGATATCACCACAATCATAATTTTTAAGTGTGTCATATCAGAGTAAATGTGCAATTTGAGGCATTTCATTCTTAAATATCTTCCCCGAACATGTTTTTGTTTATGTTGATACATGGGTGTCCATTTAAATGTTGTATAGACATGTGCCATTTATTCAAACAAATATTTAGAATATCTATAGGATGGATAAGCATGCATTTGGCCTTTGAAGAAATTGGATGATACTCGCCAAAAGGATAATGTATTTGTCCACTATATTTTTTGATTGAGTAATTTTTGGAAGCAGTGTGTATATAAATTGCAAAGTTGTGATTATGTGTCTGTTCAAAATGTTTAGCGTGCTTCCCGACATGCAACAAACTTGAAATTGGGGGGGGGGGAGCTCAATAATGCATACATTTTTTGCACGGCAAGTGAGTTGTGACGTTAAATCTGTCATGTGACCCGCGCACGTGGAAGCGTAACGCATTGTAGTGTAGTGGTTAGCGCGCTGCGCTACGAACCTGGCAACCCGAGTTCGATTCCCGCTCACGGCCACCACCGGTGACGATTATTTTAACCGCTCCTGGGCCCTCCCCGAGCCTCAAACAAGTACCGGTAAGTGGTGTGGTGTGTGAACATCGCCACTGGGGAGACAAAGGCAGCCGGGCGTGGTGAATCCAAGTCCCGGGCGAAGCCGGGTAGTAAAGCTAGTTCTCAATAAACCACATGATTGATTGATCCAATTACAGACAGTTATTATCATATCCAATTACAGATAGTTATAGTCATTAACAAATGGTAATACAATACATAAATCACCATCACATGGCACCAGTGGTAAGAGCTGAATGAAACCCATTCTGTTTTTGAAAATGGAAAGTTTTTCAACTTATACGAATATATATTGATTCAAATAAGCGGAGGGAGTCTTCCTGCTTC